CAACAGGTGGCAGGGGGGCCCCCCCCAGAAAACGGGGGGCCCCCCTTTGGGGGTTGCCCCCCCCCCCCCCCCGCGCGCTCCCACCCACCAGCGTGCCGCGGAAGTTCATGAGCGCCATGTAGAGCATGTTGAGGCCCGCCAGCGTCACGCCGCGGCTGCCCCACAGGTCGCTCTCCTTGGCCTCCAGGTCCTGCGCGGAGTGTGTGCATGTGTGTGTGTGTGTGTGTGTGTGTGTGTGTGTGTGTTGGGGAGGGTGCCGCATGCAGGGGCCTTGGGCCTTGATGCGGGCACAGCCCAAGAGCAGGCCCGGGACGCGCAGCCCGTGCTGCAGCCTGGTGACGGCAGCCCCAGTCGGCCGCCGCGCCAGCAGCGCGCCAGGGCAGCCCCTGGGAGCGGGCGAGCAGCCGGCTGGCAGTGGTGCGGGCGGCGCACCAGGTAGCCCTCGGGCACCAGGAAGGACTTGTAGTTGGACTGAACCATCTGGAAGCCGATGAGCGACTGCGAGGGAGCAGGAGGAGGTGGAAGGGGCGAGCGGGCGGTGTGGCATCGCACCGAAGCTGTGTGCGAGCAGAGGCGGCAAGAAGAGGCGGCGGGCCACTGCCACAGGCGGTGCGGCGCATAGTGCACAGTGCGAGGCGGAAGGCAGGAGGCAGCTGTGCCGCCCAGCAGGCCTCCTACCTGCAGGCCCTGCAGGGTGAAGAGCATGGGGTACAGCAGCAGCAGCTGGCCCGACGACCCGCTCGACTCGCCGCCCACCACGTCCATGGCGCTGCTCTTGCCCAGCGCGATGCGCGTGTACATGCGGCGCCGCTGGTACCTGCGGGCAGGCGCAGGGGGCCGCGCCTGGTCACATGCCATGGCCCGCCACGCTTCCTGCCGGCACGACAGCGCGCAGGCCTGCCCGGCGGCCACCCGCAGCCCGCGGCCCGGCCCCGGCCCGCGCCCCCCGCACCTGTTCTGCATGATGATGACTGCGCCCTGCAGGACGGCCCACCACAGGAATGTGTGCACGGAGCGCGCCACCGAGGGCGAGTCGACGGGCAGGGAGAGCATGAGCATGGCGGTGGAGATCGACCAGTAGTGGTGGTGGATCCACCTGCGGGGGGCCGCCAGGGCAGAGGCAGAGCAGTGATGGAGGGGGGCCAGGCCAGGGCAGAGGGAGGGCATGGAAGAAGGGGCCAGGGCATGTCAGGGGCAGCCCAACCAGTGCCAGCGTGCAGCGGTCAGCCGGCAGCCCCGTGGGCTTACCAGGGGCGGATGTGGCTGCCGTTGACCTTGAGCACGCTCTCGCGCATCGCCGAGGCGGTGTAGAAGTAGAGGAGCCAGCAGAGGAAGAGCTGGCAGCCGACTGCAGAGGCAGGGAGGACGGGGCGGCGCAGGCGGCGGCATCCCCCTCAGCCTGGCCTGTGCCTGCCGGCCACGTGCTGCCCAGGCGTGCGCCCCCCAGCCCCGGCAGCTGCCGCAGCGCGCACCGATGAGCAGCGGGGTGAGCGTGAACTGTTCGTGCGCCTCCGCCACCGCCTTGGCGCGCATCATCCCCACCAGCAGCGTGCCCGCGATGGCCACCATGCTGTAGGCTGCAGGCGGGGCGGGCAGGCAGGCGGGGGTCGTGTCAAAGACCGAAATACATCTCAACACGCCACCGGAGCGGGCAAGGGAGGGGCGCAAACACCAACAGATCGCTGCATGGGCACTGCGCTCCCGGCTGCCGCCCTCGCCTGAGCGGTTGCGGAAGCGGTGGTACTCCTCCTTCAGCTTGATGCTCTGATCCTGCAGCCCGCCAGGCAGGCAGGGGAGGCACACGCCAGGTGAGCTGCCAGGCAGCGATCAACAGCGGCGACAGCAGCATGGGGTGAGTCACGTCAGCTCTGCCTCGCATGGCGGCCCACCTTGCGAATGGACACCACGTTGCAGCAGGGGCCCAGCAGCAGCTGCAAGATGGCCGGCTTCCTGGCGTTGCTGAATTTGCGCCTGCAGGCAGGAACAAGTGCCAGCAGCAAGCAGAAGGGCAGTTAAATGGGTACGCACGCAGATGCCTTCCCAGCCAAGAGCAAAATGCAGTTGAGAGCCAGCCAGCCAGCACATGCGGGCGGCGGGGCTCACAGGTCGCCGCCGGGGCCGCTGCCCCTGACGATGCCGCGCGCGCTCTCCATCGTCTGCAGCACGTCCAGCCAGTCGGCGGCCTCGGCGGCGGCCAGCTCCTTGGAGGCGCGCTCCAACATGCGCTCAATGTTCTTGGACAGGAACGACACCTGCAGGCGCAAGGCACCAGGGCATGTGCCCTCGCAAGACGCCCTCCTAGCACTGCAGCATCCCGTAGGGGTGTGCGTGCAAGTGCGCTGCGGCCGAGTATGACCAGCCCTGCATGAACAGCCCCCGGCCGCGGTGGTCTGGTTGACGTGCCGCTGCCGCCGGTGCCTACCTCATCCGACAGGGCATCACCCTCGCTGGTCAGCTTCTTGGAGTAGCCTGCCACCCTCTGGCTCAGATTGCGCCTGCAGTGGCATTGAAGGGGAAATTGCGTCGCGATAGCCGCAGGTCCATCCCGGCGCCGCCGGGCGGGTGTCGCCAGCCCCGGCTGCAGCACCCCCAGGCTGCCTCAGACGGCGAGACCCCGGTGCCGACATTGCCCTGATCAACTCACGCTGAGTTGTGCAGGCGTTCCGCCTCCTGCAGCGCCTCCTGAGCCTGCAGCAGCCGGGCGAGACGCCGAGGTTGGCAGGAGCCCCGGCCGGCCTTCCCGCACATCCAGGTGCTGCAACAGCTTACCGTGACTGCCATGGCTCCGCTACAGGATCAACGGGAGCACACAACACAGCGGGTGATCGAGCCAAAGCCTGCGGAGCGCCAAAGATGCTGCTGAGGGCCTCCCGACACTTGATGGCAGCCTCCGATGGCGCAGGTCTGACGAAACTCGCCCCCACGCTCGCCATCATTCCCCGAGTTTTCCTCCCCTGCATCAAGGCCAAGAGGACCCGCCCTCGGCCTCCCAGGCCCTCTCCCCTAGCACATTGTTCCGATCGCGATACAGATGGCGTCCCAGGCAGTGTGCAAGGCGCAGGGCGTCGTGGTGGGTGCCCTCCGCACCTCGGTGCTGGCCCGGCCCGCCCCCAGGGCTGGCGTGCTGGCCCCCATGTACTCCACCAAGACCCAGGTGTTCGCCCCCCGCCCGATGGGCGTGCGCTCTCGCAAGATGGCCACCGTGACCAAGGCCTCTGCTAACGGGGCTGGCCTGAATATCGACCTCCGGGGTGAGTGGTGGGCGGTTTCGCATCACGCCATCCATGCAGAATTAGGCTGACAGGGGCTGCTGCCGCGCTGCAGGCAAGAAGGCCTTCATCGCCGGTGTGGCGGACGACCAGGTGCCGCTGCTGCGCCGCCGCCAGAAACAGCCTGCCGGCATGCCGTGTCGTGCACCTGGGGACCTACAGCCACAGCATGCGTGCGCCGACGACCTACCATGCCCTGGCGATGCGCCGCATGCATTCTGGCGCTGCGGTTTCGGCTCCCCGCCGCATGCGGCAACCCGCGCACCCACGCCACGGCCCCCCTCGTGCCTGCGCCGCAGGGCTTTGGCTGGGCCATCGCCAAGTGCCTGGCGGAGGCGGGCGCGGAGATCAGCCTGGGCGTGTGGGTGCCCGCGCTCAACATCTTTGAGACCAGCTTCCGGCGCGGCAAGTTTGACGAGTCGCGCCGCCTGTCCAACGGCTCCCTCATGGAGTTTGCCCACATCTACCCGATGGATGCCGTGTTTGACACCATGGACGACGTCCCCGCAGACGTGAGGCGGGGGAAGGGGGAGCAGGCTGCCGGCTGGTGCAGCCCAACGATGCTGGCTGGTGCAGCCCAACGATGCGTGATGGCAGAGCGGCGAGGGCACGGCAAGATGGCCCCTTTCAGCAGCCTGCCCATGCCTGATACGGGCTTGTGCACCCCAGCTGCACAGCTGTGGCCAAGGGGTTCTGCGCCTGCATGCCGCATGGCTGCAGGTGAAGGATAACAAGCGCTACGCCGGCAACGAGGGCTGGACCGTGAGCGAGTGCGCCGCCAAGGTGCGGCCCCACCGCTTCAATGATGCCGACGAGTGTGCCCAGCTGCAATCCCTCAGAGAGGGGCCCACCTCCTCTCATTGGCGCACCTGCCACGCCTCCATCACGCTGTCGTGCCTGGCTCCCCGCCGCAGGTGGCCAAGGACTGGGGCAAGATTGACATCCTGGTCCACTCGCTGGCCAACGGGCCCGAGGTGCAGAAGCCGCTGCTGGAGACGAGCCGGCGCGGCTACCTGGCCGCCATGTCCGCCTCCTCCTACTCATTCGTCTCCCTGCTGCAGGCACGTGCCAGCTTCCAGCCAGCTGTGCACATCTCTGCTGTCTGCCGCACCTGCTGACATGTGCTTGAATCCTGGCTCGAATCGATTGCTGGTCCACTGCTGTTGCTGGGTAGTGACCTGATGCCTTTGCCTTAACAGCCTGCAGCATTGCATTGTGCAGCTCCAGCTCTGCCTTGCCTCCCCCCACAGCTGCTGCACATGCTAGCATTGCCTGCTCACCTGCCCCCCCTGCTCCTCCACGGCCTGTTTCTGCCCGCAGCGCTTTGGCCCGCTCATGAACGAGGGCGGCGCCGTCATCTCGCTCACATACGTGGCGGCCGACCGCGTCATCCCCGGTGAGGCTCCGCAGGGCTGCAGGCAGCTTGCCAGCACACGACAGCAGCCAGCCAGCCAGCCGGCCAGCCAGCCACCTGGCTCTGGTCACCTGCTTCCATGCTGTTGTGGAGACGCCGCCATGGTGTTGCCTGCCTGCGCCCGCCCCACCACCCCCATCCTCCTCCCCTGCCCCCGCAGGCTACGGCGGCGGCATGAGCAGCGCCAAGGCGGCCCTGGAGAGCGACACCAAGGTGCTGGCGTACGAGGCGGGACGCAAGTACAGCGTGCGCGTCAACACCATCTCCGCGGGCCCCCTGGGCTCCCGCGCCGCCAAGGCCATCGGCTTCATCGACGACATGATCAGGTGGGGGGGCTGGTAGTGGCGCGGGAGGTGGGCTGGGGGTGGTGCGTGTCGCCAGGGAGTGGCCTGTGGCGGCCCGCGCGGTGCAGGGGCGCAGGCAGGAGCCGGCTGAGGCGTGGTGGGCAAGGCGCGCGGCCAGGGGTGGCAGCGGCAGCCAGGCCGGCAGGGTGCACCGCAGCCCTGGCCCTCGGCCCGCCCCTGGTGCCTGCTGGATCCCACGCCGCACGCACCCTGACCCACGCCCCGCCACTCCTCTCCCGTGCGGCTGGCTGCAGGTACTCGTATGAGAACGCCCCCATCCAGAAGGAGCTCGCCGCCACCGAGGTCGGCGCCGTGGCCACCTTCCTCTGCTCGCCGCTCGCCTCGGCAGGTGGGCGCCCGCCGCACAGGCACCCGCCACCGCCGCTGCTGCTTGCACGCCGGCACGCCCATGGTGGTGGCCGCTGGCATCGGCGCCCAGGGGGTCGCGTTCTGGGGCATCGTCAGGGGTCTTTGTGCCGCTGGCTGGGCGGGTGTGCTGCTCGATGCTGCTTCACTTCGTGTGCCTTGCCTCAGCTTGGACCCCCTGCTTCTGCTGCCCTTGTGTGCAGTGACCGGCCAGACGGTGTATGTGGACAACGGCCTGTCGATCATGGGCCTGGCTGGGGACAGCAAGACCCTGGACCGTGCCAACGCCTGAGCCCTGCAGCCCAGGCAGCTGCACATGCCGCAGCGCGCCGACCGGCCAGCACCCTTTCCCGAGTGCTTCGGCCGCGGCTAGCCTGGCCCCGCCCCCCTGCGCCCTCGCCGCGTCCCCGGCAGCAGCCGGGGGTGGCACCATGCATAGCATTTGCACAGCACTGACCTGCCCTGCCGGTGGCCCGCTGGGCTGCGCCCCAGCGGCTTGTTGCAAATTTGATTTCTTTCCGCGTGCTGCACCTGCATTGCTCGCGCGCCGGATGAGTGGCGCTCCCGCTTTTTGTCAGTGTCCCTCCCGTCTTGAGTGCATGCGAGAACCGGCGCGGGGTGGCCAGCTCGCCATTCATTGCACTGCCCCTGTGCCCTTTCCTGCTGGCGTGGATTTCAACGCCTGCTTGACGCTACCTGCTCCCTCTCCAAGCTGTAAACACTTGATGCCATGGGAAAAGAAGGGGGCAGATCGTGGGGTGACTGCAAGCTGAATTACGCTGACAGTGACGCTGACGGCAGGGGACCCAAGTTGGGGCAACGGCGACCGGAATGCCAGCCTTCCGCAAACCGGTTCCATACGCCTCAAGGCCTTCAGATCTGGGATCTGACCCGCTAGGAGAGGCCTGGGGCTTCCAAATTTGGCACGTCAGCAAAATTGGTAAACCCCAGGGAGCCCTATAATAAGAGAGCTCACACCTTTGCCCTGGCCCCCATTGCAGTTGCAGTTGCGGAGACCAGTATCACATCGCCTGGCACCATGCCGAGCCTCGTCAGGCAAGTTTGGCGCACCAGCAGCTTCATGCGTCTCGGGGCAGCGCTGGTGGCGACAGCAGCGCGATCCCTGGTTTCTGCGTGCTTCTGGCATGAAACCCTAGAGCTTGCAGGCCCTCCCGGCCGCTGCCGATGCCTGCACACGATGACTGCATGCCTGCAGTGATGCTGGTGCCCCCGCGCACACCGTGAGCAAGGCCGGCAATCCCATCCTGGCAAATCTGCCCAACCAGGTGCAACCGGGCAGCTTTGTTGGACGGGCCGCTCGTCGGATGGGCAGCGGCGCGCCCGCCTGCCGCCGCTGCCTTTGTTGATGCCCTGTAGTCACGCATCTAGCTGGAAACGCTTGTGGAGTGGCAGCAGCAGTTGGCGGGCTTGCAGCATTACTACAGTATGTGAGCACCACAATCAAACTGGCACCCCCACTCCCCTGCCCCCGCCCGCCCGCAGCTGTTCATCGGCGGCGAGTGGTCGCCCGCCGCCAGCGGCAAGACCTTTGCCGTGCTCGACCCGCGCACTGGCCAGGAGGTGTTCCGCGTGGCGGAGGCGGACAAGGAGGATGTGGACAGGGCGGTGGCGGCGGCGCGCAGGGCGTTTGACGAGGGCGAGTGGTCGCGCATGTCGGGCAAGCAGCGCGGCAAGGTGCTGCTCAAGCTGGCGCAGCTGATTGAGGACAATGCCGACGAGATGGCCGCCATCGAGTCGCTGGACAACGGCAAGCCGCTGGTCATGAGCAAGGTGGGGCGCCTGCGGGAGCGGCGGCCTGCTGCACGGGCCTCCTGGGCCTGGCCTGCGCCCACCAGCCAACTCCCGTGCTTCCCCACGGCTTGGATCCCTGCGTTTGCTTGCCTCCCCCAACCCGGCCCTGCCCTCTGGCCTGCCCCACGCTGCAGATTGCCGACATCCCCCTCAGCGCCGACCACTTCCGCTACTACGCGGGGTGGGCGGACAAGCTGCACGGCAAGACCATCCCCTGCGACAACACCTTTGGCAAGGCGAGCAGGGCTGCACAATGGCTGCCGGTGGCTGGACAATGGGCCAGCCCGCGTCGCCAACCCCCGCTGTCTGGCTGCGAATGCGCCCGTCCCACATCCTCACTCACCCCGACTCCGCCCCTGCTGCAGTTCTTTGCCTACACGCTGCACGAGCCCATCGGCGTGGTTGGGCAGATCATTCCCTGGGTTCGTGCAGGATGCTGCCGCCTGCCTCCTGCTGTCTTTTGCCTGCTGCTGCGCCTGCTGCTTCCTGCCTGTGGAGTGTTTTGGCCACGTCAACCCCTTCTCTGATGCTCGGCCTCTAGAGCTGTTGCCCTCACGCCCGGCTGACGCCCGCCCTGCTGCCCCCCCATTTGCTGCGCCGCAGAACTTCCCGCTGCTTATGCTTGCCTGGAAGGTGGCCCCCGCCCTGGCCGCCGGCAACACCATCGTGCTGAAGCCTGCAGAGCAGACCCCTCTCAACGCGCTGCGCTTTGCGGAGCTGTGTGCTGAGGCGGGGGTGCCCAACGGAGCCATCAACATCCTGCCCGGCTTTGGGCCTACCGCCGGCGCCGCCATCTGCAGGCACCCCGGCGTCGACAAGCTGGCCTTCACGGTGGGCTGCCGGGGCACCAGGGCTGCTGCCGCCGGGGCGGGGAAGGCGCGCTGGTGCGCGCGGTGCCACGACCTGCGTTGGTGCTGCGGTGTGGTACCCTCTGCCTTCCCTGCGTCTGCTACGCACCTCCATGCTCCCGCCTGACACCCTCCCCTGCCCAGCACTGCCCTCCCCCTGACCCCCGCCCCGGCAGGGCTCCACCGAGGTGGGGCGGCTGGTGATGAAGGAGGCCAGCGAGCGCATCGTGCCTGTGACTCTGGAGCTGGGCGGCAAGAGCGCGCTGATCATAGACAAGCATGTGGATGTGGACAAGGCGGTGGAGGATGCCCACTTTGCGCTGTGAGCCAGTGGGGCCGCGGGGCTGGCAGGCTGTGTTGTTCTTGGGTTCTTGTTGTGGTTTTGGAGGTGTGGCCAGCTGGCGGTGGTCGCATGCTGCTGATGGACGGGCAGCGGGTGCGGCAGGCTGGCCCGGCGGCCTGCAGCCCCAGGCTAGCCGCCCGCTGCTGTGGAGCCAGTTGAGAGCGCCGGCTGGCCCTGCTGCTCATTGCTTGCCTGCGCTCTCTGCCCTCCTCGCAGCTTCTTCAACCACGGCCAGTGCTGCGCCGCCGGCAGCCGCACCTACGTGCACGCGGTGAGCGCAGGCGGTGTGGTGTGGGGGGCTTCTGCATGGCACGGGCCCCGCCTGTGGACCTGGTATTGCCACACCCTGCCTGTTTCTTCCCTCCTCCTCACCAGCGCACCTCCCCCCCACCCACTACTGTCCCTCTTCCTAATCTCCTCCTAACTTCATCTCCGGCCCCCTCCTTTTTCACCTTTGTAGGACATTTACGACGAGTTCGTGGCGAAGGCCGCGGCTCGCGCCCAGCGGCGCGTGGTGGGCGACCCATTTGAGGAGGGTGTGGAGCAGGGCCCCCAGGTGGACCAGGACCAGCTGAACAAGATCCTGGCCTACATCGACGTGGGGCAGCGGGAGGGCGCGCGCATGCTGTGCGGCGGCAAGCGCAGGGGCGACGCCGGCTACTTTGTGAGTGGATGGCTGCTGGCTGGGGGTGGGAGTGGGTGTGGGTTGGCAGGGAGCGGCTCGCGCATCTCGTCCGCCTGCCCTGCGCGCCCAGCCAGCCTGCACGCCGGCGCCATGGGCAGCAGGGACCCAACCTGCCCCGCCCCCGCAGGTGGAGCCCACCGTGTTTGCCGACGTGACGGACCAGATGAAGATCGCGCAGGTGCGGGGCTGCCGCTGCCGCTGCTGCCGCTGCTTGGGCGTTCCTCCAGCGGCTTGCGGCCCCTGGCCGAGCGCCAAGGCTGCAATTTCAAGCACGGCACTGCCTAGAGGCCGGGCAATGAAACGCTGCCTGCCTGCCTGCCTTGTGGCGCAGGAGGAGATCTTTGGGCCGGTGCAGTCCATCCTCAAGTACCACACCACCGAGGAGGTGGGCTGCCGGGCTGCTGGCCTCTTGGCTGTGTTGGGCTGCTGCAATACTGCAGCCGAAGCAGCGCCTCAGTGGCAGCCACGCTGCATTGATCCCAGGCTGCTGGCCTCGACTGGCTCTTAATTGCTATGCTTGCCTCGACCCGCTCATTTCGGCAGTTTTCTTCGTCTTTATCTTCACCCGATGCAGGTCATTGCCCGCGCCAACAAGTCAGAGTACGGCCTCGCTTCTGGCATCATCTCCAATGATGTCGGCTTCGTCAACACCGTGTCCCGCTCACTCAAGGCCGGCACCGTGTGGGGTGAGTGCCCGCGAGGGTCATGGTGTGCCCGTATCCTCCTTATCATGGCCTCCTGGGCAGCTTGCCACCCCTCCCCAAACCCAGAAGGCTGATTTGACCTTTGTCCCGCTTCCCGTGGCCCTCAACACATGAACAATCAGTCAATTGCTACAACGTGTACGACAGCGCCGTGCCTTTTGGCGGCTACCGCCTCTCCGGCGTGGGCAGGGACAAGGGCGAGTGTAAGTGGCTGCTTGTGCTGGCAACCCGCTGCCGCTGCATCCGCTGCATCCCGCTGCGCCGGCTGCAGGCATGCTGCATGTGTTGAGTGATGCTGGTGGACCCACCCGCCCGCTTTCCTCCCCCCCCCACCTGCCTGCTTTTCCACCCTCTTCGTCCTGCAGATGCGCTGGAGAATTACACCCAGGTCAAGGCCGTCTACCAGAGCCTGGAGCCCAACCAACCCTGGCTGTGAGCTGGCTGGCTGCCAGCCTGGCGTCCAGAAGAGCAGCCTGCCAGCCCCGTGGAGCTGGCGACCGCAATGCATGCAGCGCACAACTCGGCGCCCCAAGCACCCGTTTGAACCCCCGCAAGACCTTGCTTGCCTCAGTTGTCCCTCTCTGTTGATCTGTCCTACCCGCTGCTGTCAGCTCAATTTCTGTGCAAGGCGGGCCTCCCACCCCTCCCCCTGCATACCAAGTTTTGTCCCCCCTGTGCCTATCTGCTCCTCACAGCTTTTGGCATGCCTTGCATGAAGTCGCACGCGTGTGCGCTGCACATAAGTTTTGATACCCCCTGTTCTTGCACACGAAGCCCCCTCTGTAACTTTATCTGTTTCTTCCAGCAGAGAGAAAGAATTGCACTCCATCTCACACTCTCGATGCGCCACCTGCTGCCAGGGCAGCCCACAGTTTATTGCAGCTTTGCGTGGTCGATGGCCGACAATGCCGCGTTCACGTCGAAATACTGCAGCAGCAGGTGGTGGGGGTCAGTGGAGGTGGATTGTGGGGCTGCCCTGCACCCTGCTTGATCTGTGTTCCCCCAACCCTGGCTGCCCACACCTTGACATTGACGTGCGGAACGCCAAAAACCTTCAGCCTCGCCTCGTGCATGGCCATATAGGCCTCGGCGGAAGCGCGGTCTGAGAAGAGGTACACACCGCCCGCCTCCCCCCGCTCCTGGCTCTCGGTCCAGACCTGCAGCAGCGGCCACCAACAGGGGCAGGTGGGGCTGCGCAGTTGAGTTGCAGCTGGCACCCGACTCTTGACCACAGCGTGCTCCGTGCTCGCTCGCCTTCCATATCAGCCCCGGTTCATGGGCGATTGAATGCGCCAGCTCCCGCATCCCCTCCGTTGTCGCATCCCCAAAGGGCCCTTGAAAGGGGAAATCCACTTGCAGCAGCACGGACATCCTGCAAGGGGGCAGGGCAGGCCCGGTGGGGGAAGCGGCTGTTGCCGCCAGCCCGCCCCCGCCGCGCCCGCGCTGCTCTGGGCCAAACCCCATGCCACCTGATGCGTGTCGCGGCCCAGACAACTCAATTATCTCGCCTAGTCGAAAGGGAGAGCCTGGGGCAGGCAGAGCCAGGCACCCTTCACTTGCTGTCTTGGTTGCGGGGAGTAGCGCTCTCGCCTTGATCCTGCAGCGTGTCCGATCAAGCTTTGATAATCTCATTGCTAGCCATTGTTGCAGCGACGGAGAACCGGTATTCTGCGCCTTCCTCCCGCCCCATGCAAAGTTGTGTGGGCTTTTGCCCCCGCCTCTCCTGCGTTCAGGCCCGCTAAGCTGTCGCTGAGCGAGGAGGGGGCAGCCCATGCCGCGGTTCGCTTTGCACACCACTGGGAAAAGCGCCTCGCTCAGGGCGGGAGCGGGAGTGGTGGCAGTGTCGTTCGGAGCGGTGAGTGCACTGTAGGGCCCAGAAAGTGAGTGGGCTTAATGCGGTGCCTCCCCAGCCGCAGCCTGGCCTGGCGGCAGCAGGCGGTGGGTTAGGGGCGGACCGTCCGCCCGCAACTTCACCCTTCCCCCGCGCCCGCTGCTCTCTCCAGTTCTTCTTGATCCTGGCGGGCAGGCAGATCGATGTCTACAGGATGCAGGAGCCGATGAAGTAAGGCAGCGCCTGGGCAGCCCTGCGTTCCGGTTGCCGCTGCCCCTGTTTGTGCAGGGGTTAATCGTCCACGCTTGCCGCCTGCTGTGCAGAGCCCAACTGTCGCGCCTGTCGTCGAGCTTGGGGTCATGGGCCATGCCCATCAGCAGCGGTGCATCGGCAGCAGGAGGGGCAGCGGAAGGCGTGCTGAGCAGCTCCAGCGCAGCTGGAGCAGCAGCGGGCGGCAGCGGCTCCTCTGATGTGTTTGCCGGGCCCAGCCTGAACTTCTCCCGGCTGCAAACCTTCTTCAGCTTACTGGCAGACTACCCCAAGGAAAACACCTGGCAAGCGCCATCCAAGGAGGGGGCAGCGGCTGCGCCGGGCCCGGCACCAAGCGGCGGGCGAACAGCGGAGCTGTGAGGCGTTTGCTGCAGCGTGTGCCTCAAGTTTGTTTCATTGCGACTGTTTCAGCTTGTTGACAACAGAACTTGGCAAATAAATAGGCCACATTGCAGGGCCGTGACCGATTCAATACGAAGTCAGATGCGTATCGTGCAAGCAGGAGGCGGCACGGCTCAGAAGCGGCAGTGCACCAAGCCTGGATGGGAAGATCTGAACCGACAGATGAAGCCAGGGCCTTCGCGACTGCGGCCCTAGCCAGCCACCTCCTGCACAACCGCCAGTACGCTAAGCACCACCCCCAGCAGCAGCACCGCGATGGGCAGCGCCACATTGTCCACAAAGAGCCCAACCTGCAGCGGCACCGGGGGGGCAGCAGGCCGCTTGTTCATGACTGCGGAGACGGGCGCTAGGTGCTGCACCACATGACGCTGACTAGCAAGCAGGCTGCGAGGCCACAAGGAGGGCAGGCGGGCACGCAGGCAAGTCGGCCCGCCGTCCCGGCTCGCACCTGCTCCCAGAGGCTGAGGCCGGCGCCATCCAGGAAGGTTGCGTAGCGGCGCATGTCCATGCTTCCGTTGCTGATCAGCGTATCCAGGGGGGCCGAGCGCCTGCAAGGCACAACAGCAGCAGCAAGGGAGCAGGTGGGCAGCCCTGCAGGCATGGAGCACACCTCTTGACGTGCTGGCCATGCAGGCAGGGACTTGCATATCCCCAGGCATTGAGCCACAGCTTGAGCGGCGCACCTCCTCTCCATCATGGGAGGCTGGAAGTGCGTATCTGTCTCTGTGGGCTGCACTGAGACGCGCTCAACATCCTCGTCCCTAGCAGCAGCGGGCACGGCGCCGCCTGCGGTTGCGGTCGTGCCTGGCTGTGCCGTGGGCACCATGGAGTGGGCAGGTGCGCTCCTGCTCTGCTGCTCGGGGTCGTTGGCTTCTGGGTCTGGCTGGCGAATCGGCGCATCCATGAAGGGGGAGGGCTCCATGGTAAAATGCGCCCTGCACCGGGGACATGGGGGCGCACATGCGGACATGACGCGGGGATGTGGCTGTTGCGTGCACAGGCTACTGTGCAGGTCTTGCAAGCAAGTAGGCGGCCTGGCATGAGAGCGCACCTGTGTCCTGTCGGCGCCCCCACACGCCTCTGCATTGCGGCCGAGGGCAAGCGGCAGCGTCACTTCCCAACAGCAGCTGGGATGGTGCTGCCTGGAGAGAGGCACCGCCTGCTGATGCCGCACGCACCAGCTTGCACACATCCTGGGGGCATAGGCATGCTGTGCCGGCGCACCTTCCCAACGAGCCAGTCGTCAATGAGCGGGTCGCTCCAGGGCACGTGGCCAGAGTCGAGGTCCTCCAGCAGCGGCACACGGACCTTGGGGATCACCTGCTTCTTGCGGCGGCGCATGCCTGCAGCATGCGAGGGACAATGCAGCACCTTAGCGAAACACGCCTGGCGTCCCATGAGTGCAGGTACCAGCTGGGTGCAGCGGCGGGTGCCATAGGTGATACAGCAGCAGCAGGGCAGGCAGCGACACCCACCAAAGAAGTACAGCCGCAGGTGGCAGACGACAGGGATGATGTAGCAGAGCAGGCAGCCGGCGGTGGCGCCCGTCAGGCTGAAAATCTTCTCAGCCCCTGCAGCAGCGGGCACAGCGCGGCGTGAAGGATGTGAGGGGGGGGACACGATACACACCATCAACAAGCAACTACTGGCTGTCCAGGGGGTGCAGCGCACCTGAACCTGGGAAAGCCAGGGCCACGGACAGCGAGGGCACCAGGGTCAGTGCGGCCAGCATCACGTCCTGGCGCCGGGTGGTGGGCACCACCTCGCCCGACTCTGTGCTGCCCGCCAGCAAGCTGCACGCGGTGGCAGGCGGTGCAGAGGTGTGTGCTTGCATCAGGGCGGAGAGCTTGCCGGTGATATGAATGCCATGGCGTGGCCTGGCGCGGGCGGCGGGTTGCGAGCGCGTCTCCAGCAGGCGCCGCGCGGCTGCCAGGTGTTGCCAGCTGGCTGCCCACCTGGCGAGCGTGTAGCGGAGGGTGATGGCCAGCGCCGGGATGCTGACTGAGAGGTAGAGAGCCACCATGCACTCCAGGGCGCCGTTTGGCCAGCCTTTCAGCAGGCTTACTGCACGTGGGGGGTACAGGGCAGCATTGCAGATGAGCCGAGCTGGCACAAGTGTGCAGGCTGGCCAGCTGCGATGAGCTGGACGCAGTCAGAGAAGAGCAAAATACTGACCGGCCTGCTGGCCCTCCCTCACCTGCCATGAGGTCACCGGGGGTATCCAGCCCATAGGTTCCCGCAGCACAGATGCCAATCACAGCATATACGCAATACGCCACACCTGTGGGTAAACACGGGAGGTGGGTGGGCACGCCTGACGCAGCACGCCTCGCACAGCACACGAGGGGCTCTGGCCTCGGGCTTTCAGAGAACAGGGGCAGAACAGGCGCTTCCCGGTCAGCGTCTCACCCACGGTTGCCACCGCCACCGCTCGGGACAGGAGGTCGACTCCCGGGCGGCCGCGGGGCAGCTCTTGCAGCAAAGGCAGAAGCATGGGGTGTACATAAAACGCGTAGGAGAAGACTGACACGGCTTCGGGAGTCTCGGGTGTCCAGCGCATCTCGAAGAGCGGCAGCTCGCCAGACTTGATGGCAGGGAACCCAGCCCGCACCTAACGGCAAGCAGGGGGGGGCAACAAACAAGCTGGGGCAACGAAGTTGGGCAGCCTCGCGTACAGAGCAGCCAGCAAACTGGGGACATAGTCGGTATCCGGCAGGATGGAAGCAGAGGGGCAGCGGGAGCAGCGCGGCCCACGACTCACTGCGTTGGTCACCACGACGGCTGCCATGACGGCCAGGCACGACAGGGCACCGGTGGCAGCAGCCTCCAGCTGCCGCAACAGGGCAGGGCAGGGTGGGAGTGGATCAGGCAAGTAAATGGGCAGCAGCATTCCGCTGCTGGGTTGCTGCCGGTTTATTCTTCTGTGCACCTGGCGCAGCTGCCCTGTGTTATTGGCTGCTCACACCTGGCGGATCTGGCGCAGGGTGCACAGCGGCAGCACCACCGACACCGTCAGCAGCGTCATCACCACACGCCCATCGCCCACCAGCAGCCAGGCAGGAGCTGCGGAGCGGAGCAGGTCAGCCACAGCAGTCTTGCCGAGATCGGCTAGGAGCGCGATTTCGCCTGCAGCCAAGGGGCCAGGAAGCGAGAAGCGCATTGCAGCCCGCAATCCAGGTCCCAGAATACGCCGGCACCTGGCGGCGGCGGCGCTCTCACCCGACAGCGTGCCCCACAGCCCCTGTGTTACCCTGTGTTACAGTCACCCCGCTATGATAGGCCGCGTGAGCAGACCTTGGGCAGGGGGCACACGTGATCAAGGGGCATCAAGAGAGGGGGTGGACCATGGAGCACCCTCTCCATGGCTCCGACCACCCTCCCCCCAGCTGAGCGTCCCAGGGTCACCCCACCCTGGCCCCGCTCCCCGTCCTGCCGGACACGCAACCCCCACAACGTGGTGGGGGACGTGGGGATCCTTAGCAGCTTAGGCCTGCCAGGCCGACGGGTGCCGATGCTGGTGCGGGCTCCCGGCGGCAGGCAGCGCCGCCGCCGGGCACTCAAATGGCATGGGGCACATGGGCCCCCATGCCCGCACATCTCCCAGGCACATGAAAATACCAGAAGGCTGCACATGTAAGGGTGCATGCATTGCAGGCAGGAGTGCAAAGTGGCCTGCCGCGGCGGTCGGCTGTGCCATTACTCAGTCAGCCGCCGCTACCGTGCCGGGCTTGGCGTTCCCATGCCAACATGCCGGCGTGCCATCGCGCAAGGGGCCAGTGAGTGTGTGAGGTGGAGGTGGGGGTGGTGGGGCGCCATGAGCGCGCAGCGGGCGACCAGCCCCCAGGCGCGCCCTCCCACCGTCCCAGCAACCTTCTCGTAGCTGTAAACGTTCAGACGGGCTGCAGGGGCAGGGCATGCGGCACAGAGAGTGACAGGGCGGCAGGTATTGCGAGCACTTGGAGACGCGCATACGTCAGACCCCCGCACCTGCCACTTTGATGAGCAGCCTTGAGGTGACTGTGTTGCTCAGTGCAACCGCCATTGCAGCCACCCCGCCAGCTAGCACGCCAGTGCGGGAAAACGCAAAAGGCACGGGAAGGACGGCGCTGCAGGGCAGGAGTGAATGAGGCCGGGGCGGGCCTTGCGCCGGGCGGCATGCATCGAAGCGGCGGGCGGGCGGGGACGGGCACAGCAGCTGCGCCACCAGCGGCCAAACCAGCTTGTCAACAGTGCCTCACCTTCCCAGAATGCCGAGGCATAGCGTCAGCACAGAGCTGCTGAACGCCCCCTTGCTGTCAAGCGAGACACCTGAACCGAGCTGCTCCATGCTGCTGTAACGTAAATTTACAGCAGCGTGGGGGTGATCAAGCACAAGGACGAGCACACACGCTGGCTGGAGGGGTTGCAAGGGGTGGAGCCCGGCTAGGGTTGTTCCGGACGTGCACTGGGGCCGGTTGCAAGGGCTGCATCGATGTGCAATCAATGCGCATTTCCTTGCACAAGCATTCCTCGGACGGAAAGCCCCCGATTCCGCGCATCTCTTGACCTGGTGCTGCGAGTGCTGAGGACGGTCACTTGCTGCATTCACAGCAGGAGGGCGCGGCTGTCGTTGCATTGTGTGCAGAGGCAGGCAGTGGCCGGCATGGCGGTCATGGCGCAAGCAGCGCCTCCCTTGCGCTCTGCAGGGTCGTTTGCCTTTCAGTGGTCTCGCCCAGCAGCAAAGGAAGTCTTCTCGGCCACCTGTGTGCTCACTCTAGGGATCGTGGGAAAGTGAGCAGCGAGTGGGGCACCGAGCTGAGGTTGTGGTGAAGGGAACTGGTGCCGCCGCACCTGTTGCCGCCCACGACCCTGCTCCGCCCCCCCCTGCCACCGGACACTGTTGTTGCTGCTTTCTGCAGTGCCATTTTGCCCGTCCCCTATGCGTTTTCCATCACCGGAGCGGTAGTGGGAGTGCTCGTGTTTGCGGGGACCGCGCTAGCCAACATGTGCACATGCCACCTGCTGCTGCGTGGGGCGGTGGCCTCGGCGACCTGCGACTACGAGGGCCTGGCAGAGGCAATAGGCGGGCCCATCGTGCGGGTGCGTGGCAGCTGCACAGCCAGCCAGCGTGCACTCGTTGTTTGTGTGCAAGTTTGTGCAGGCGGCCGTGCTGCTGGGCAGACAGCCAGCGTGTGCTTCATGTGCCCCCTCGTCATGTCCTAGCCAATTTGCCTGCCTGTACATGCAGTGGGCGGTGGAGGGGTGCACCGTAGCCCTGCTGCTGGGCACCAACATTGGTAAGTACGGCGTGCTTCCATTGCCCCGCTCATGCACCTTCCACTGCCGAGCTGAAACCGGCGCACAATGCGGTGCGAGCGCAGGCGCAATCATCCAGATTGGGCAGAGCGCGTCGACGGCGGTCAACTCGCAGTGGCCTGACAAAGCGGCCTGGTGGACGGACAACAACGGCTTCTGGCCCATGGTCATATTCACGGTCCGCCACCGCCCCTGCCCTGCCTTGCCCCTGCCCTGCCCTGCCCCTTGCCCAGCACCAACCTACTGGACCCCCGCCCCTTGCCTGCAGCTGGGCGGCATCCTCCCGCTCTCCATGCTGCCCACCATGCGCCAGCTGGAGGTGGTAGGCGCCGTGGGCAGCATCATTGTATGGGTGCTGACCGTCGTAATCATGGTCAAGTCGATTTCCAATGGCCTGCCCCAGCTGGGAAAGTGAGTGTGGAGCAGTGGAGCGGTGGCGCCAGCTGCCGCAGCCTATGTGCTGACGCCTCGCCGCGCCTGCCCCCTGTTTCACCCACGCACTTGCAGAACCTTTGAAGTTGTCGGCTTCACCAGCCTAGGTGTGTGCTGTTGCTAGCAAGGCACTGGCCCGCCAGCTTCGCCCCTGCGTATGACCCTTCCACCATACTGCTCCCTGCTCCTGCAATGTGTACAGACAATGTGGCGCAGGCATTCTCCCTTGCGGGCTTCGCCTTCTACCTGCAGGCGCTGCTGATGCCCCTGTGAGCCACCCCCTGCTGCCGCTGCCGCTGCTGGTACCGCCTTGATGCATCTTGCTGCTTGCTGCCGCCTGCTTGCTGCCCAGCACGCCCTCGCCACCCATTCCACCGGATGCTGTCCGTTGTGCGTCCGCAGACTGGGAGAGCTGCAGCCGGGGGTCAAGGGCGCTGCGGCTGCCAAGACGGCCGCCGACATCACGGTGCTGGGCAGCGCGCTGAGGTGCGGCTGCATGGGATCACGTCCAGCCCTGGTGATCCACCCGCTCCTGCGCGTTTCGCCTTGCCCCCCTCCCTCACCACCTACTGTACTGCCTGGTCGGCCACCCGCCTGCAGCACCTACCTGCTGGCCGGCTTCTTTGGGGCAAGCATGTACGGTGACCAGACGAGCAGCAACGTGCTGGAGAACGAGTGGCTGCCTGGGTTGGGCACCTTCGTGCTGAACATGGTCAGTCGGGGTGCTGTGCCCGCCAGGGGGATGCGCTGCCTGCTGGGTGGCCAGGCCTGGCCTGGAAACAATGTGCCCGCCCACCCCACCACCCCCGCCCGCCACCCTGGGCCCTGTCTGCAGCTGGTGACGCTGTACCTCGTGATCTCCGTGCCGCCCATCGTCTTTGCCAACGTGCACACAGTGCGGCACTGGGTGGAGCGCGCCAGCCGGGGGCGCACCAAGGCGCTGGCGCGCTGGCTGCAGCAGTTCATCAGGCAAGCGGCCCTCGGGAGCCTGTCAAGAGGAACCCACCCCTCCCGTGGACCTCCGCACCCGCCCGCTTCCCGCCCTGTGTTCCCACAGCTGAGCAGCGCGGTGCCTTCCCGCCTGTGCCTGCAGCACCCTGCTCGTGCTGGGCGTGTGCCTGGCGGTCTCGCTGGCCGCCCCCGGCCAGTCGGGCACCGTCCTCACCTTCACCGGCGCAACCTTTGTGTGCATGGGTGAGCCGAGCGCAGGCTGGCGCTGACTGCGGGCTGTCGCCTGCTGCTGTGTGTGGCTGCCATCATTCCGTTCACACACTCTTTCGCAACTCCAGAGTCCCTCTGCGCAATCCCTGCTCCACCAGCCCACTGTCACCTCCCTCCACCCCCCAGCCCCCCTTCCCCCATCCCACACTGCAGTTTCTTATGTTTTCCCTGTTGTTTTCCACGCGGTGGCCTACACGGGGCGGGCACGCTACCAGCAGCAGAAGGTGGAGGCGGAGGAGGAGCTGGCGGCTCGCGCCTCCGACCTGGAGCTGGCCACCAAGAGCCTCAGCATCGCGGGGCGCAAGCCAGCGGATGCGGCGGCAGGAGCGAATGGGGCAGCCCTGCACGGCAGGTCGGGCCAGGGGGACACCTTGGCTGCAGGTGCAGCTGCAGGCAGTGCAGCCGAGCAGGAGGGAGCAGCCGTGAATCCTGCGGATGCAGGGGATCGGCAGGCCGGCGTGGAGCACGCGTCGGCGGCCATGGCAGCAAAACCGTCGCCTTTCGACATGGACAGCCCTGCCCAGGTTTCGCCTGCCCAGCACGGCAGCGCCCACAAGCATGCTTCCCACAAGTGGCCATCGGAGAGCTCGCATGGCCATCTGCCGGCTGTTCCAGGTGGGCGTGGCACCTGTGTCCACAGCGCGCAATGGATTTTTGCCCGCCTGTTGAATGCTGCCGGCTCCCTGCCACCATCCCAGTCGGCCGGCTTGCGCTGCCGCTGGTCTCATCACCTGCTTCTCATCCTGCTGCTGTGTGTGCTGGTGCAGAGGGGAGCTCGGTGGAGCCATCCGTCCCCAGCGGCTTCCTGCATTCCCTGTCGCTGCGCAGGAGCAGCAGGTCCAGCGGTGGTTCCAGCATGGGGCGTCTGCTGCTGGACCTACTACACGCCACCAACACAGGTGCCTCGGTCGCTGCTGGGGCCAGGCTAGCTGCACATGTGCCTGTGCCGGCCGCTACGCTGTGCACGAGCTAGTTTGCCGCAGAACGGCCTGCGGATGCTCGGCCAGGAGTGTGGGAGTGTGCCTGCTTCAAGGCTGCAGCCATCATCTTAGCCTGCCACCTGCCTGCCACACTGCTGCAGCGGCACCGCAGCGCAGCAAGGAGCTGGAGGAGGAGCTGGAAGGCATCAGGTGTGTGCGCAGGCATGGGCTGCAGTCATGGATGCAGAACTTGTGCGGTGTGGGAGGGAAGAGCTGCTGCGGTGGTGGTGTGCGCACCGCTTGCACGCTGCTCCTCGGGTTACTCCTGCAGTCGCTCTGGTAGCCTCCACGTTGACCGGCAGTCCGTGTTTCGCGACGAGCTGCTGCGGACGAGCCTGGCGCCGCAGGCGATTGCGGCAGGTGGGCCACCTGCGCTTCCGTTGCTGCTGCCATGCGCTGCCCCCGCCTACACCCCGCCTGCAAGCTCAAGTGGCACCTACTCGCCTCTTGCTCCCACTGCAGGCGCATCCTTCATGACGCCCGCACTCACCGAGCTCACGGACTTGGGCTCTGAGGAGCGCGATGACCTGGTGCTGGCGCTGCTGCCGCCCTACCGCCGCACCCAGCTCCGCCACCCGGTGCGCTGTGTGGACCCTGTGGCTGGCCAGCTGCTCTTTTGGGTTGCTGCAAAGAGGCGGTTTGAAACAAGCCAACAAAAATAGTTCATCATGTAACGCCACACCCTGTTGTGTGCCACTGCACCCGACTGTGTGGCCACTCCCCTATCTGTTGTGTGCAGGTGTTGGAGGGCATCAAGGAGGTGGCCATCCCCATCGTCGTGCTGGCCATGGGCCTCTTCTTCTCCATCAGCACCTTGGTCCTGCTGTTCAATTGACGGCCTGCCTGTGCTCCGGCGCCGCAGCCCAGGCATGCATGGCAAGTACGCCTGCTGTTGCACTCGACCAAATGTTTCCAGGAAGCTCTGTTGATGCACGTGCATACATCGAGTGTATCCCCTGTACCACCGATCCTTTCCCCACATTATCCGCTCAGTCCATATGCCTTAGTTGTATTCTGCAACAATGTCAGTTACTCAGCCTTGTTGTATGTTCTAGTCAAGCTATCGTGATACAGTCAGATCAGTTCGCGGCCTGCCGCTATCCCCGCCATGGTACCAGCGCTACCAAGCCTATTCTTCATGCGTGGGCTGGTCATGCGTCCTCTGGCAGCACCGCACCGTCCTTCTGCCGCAGCACCTCCATCACGCCGATGCCCACGCTGGTGGCCAGGTTGAGGGAGCGGACGTGCTGGTCGCTCATGGGGATTTTGACCATGTGGGTGGCCGCGGCGTGCGCCTCCTGGGGCAGCCCCGTGGTCTCCGCCCCAAACATGAGCCAGGTGGAGGCGGCGGGCGGGTACAGCCCCTCTGCCGCATAGTGCTGCCGCGCAAACTTGCTGTAGCCTGCGTGTCGGTGGGGCAGGAGATGGATGGCACACTGCTGCCTTGCATCCGTGGGGGCAGGCGGTGTGCTGGCACCCAATCCGGCGGGGCCTCACCCACGAGCTGCTTGGGGCCCTCCTGCTGCTGCCAGAACTCCAGAAAGGCCTCCCAGCTGGGGTGCACATCCACGCACACAGCCGGCCAGTAGTCCAGCCCGGCCCGCTTCAGCCTGCATGCAGGGTCAGCGAGGGCGCTGATGGGTCGGCTAGGGCGGGCGTGGGCAGGGACAGCCTGAAGCAGCCCGGCCAGGTGCTCACTTCTTGCTGCCTAGCTCGAAGCCGCACGGCCCCACCAGGTGCAGGCCAATGTTGGTGGCGGCACAGGTGCGCGCCACGTTGCCTGCGAGAGAGCAGCGGATGGCTGGTCCGAGGGATTGGCAAGCGATTCTGGGCAGCCAAGCACCGCCTGCCCGTCACGCCCAGCCTGCCCGCACCTGCGTTCTGCGGGATTTGAGGGTGGATCAGCACCACGTGCAGGTCTGGTCGCTGGTGCGTCTGCCTGCCGCCGGCGATGGCTATGCTCCAGTCGTGCTGCTGCTGGCCTTGTGCTGTGTCTTGCCCCGCTGCCGCCGCCGCTGCTGCCGCTCGTCCCTGCTGCTGCTGCCGCCGCCGCTGCCGCCGCCAGGCCGCCACGCCCGGCGGGTCTGCATGTGTTGCGTGCCGGGGCCAAGGGCCGTGCATTGGTGTCGACGCTGCACTGCCGCACCCTACAGAGGCTTGTTGGCGCGCCTGAGCGGCTGCCCTCAAGGGGACGGCGAGTTTGGCGGCGGTGGCTGCCGCTCTCACCCTCATGCTCAGCGTGCAGTGGAGGCCGATGGGATCAATGCAATGCAGGAAACGGCAGATGAAACGGGCAATGATGCGAGTTTTTCTTCCAGGCCCCGGCCGCTCATCCCGCTTCACTAGGGTGCTGTCCAGGCCAAACCGTGTTCCAATCGCAGCCATGGCATCCAGCACGGTGGCAGCATCTGCAGCTGCGGGGGTCGGCCCCCGCAGCGCCCCAGCTCCCAGCAACAGGCTACAGCGCCCCAGCGCGGCAGCGGCGCTGGCCGGGGGCAGGCGGCGGGCCAGGCAGCAGCAGCAGACCAGGCTCAGAGTGCGGGCCACCGCAGCCGAGGTGGAGGAGGCTCCCCTGTCGGAGGATGAGAAGATTGCCAAAATGCTGGCCAAGCCTTACAAGTATGGCTTCAAGACCATCATTGAGACGGAGCAGTTCCCCAAGGGCCTCAGCGAGGACGTGGTGCGCGCCATCTCGGCCAAGAAGGAGGAGCCCGAGTGGATGCTGGACTTTCGGTGCGCAGCGCCGCCCGCCCCGCCCCGCCGCCTCCTCACCAGCACGTAGCTGCCTGCGCTGGCGCCTGCAGACTGCCAGCATGCCGCTGCCAGACTCGATCAGGCCAGGCAGCCAGCCCCCAGCCTGCCGCATGCCGTCCATTGCACACGCCGCCCGTCACGGCTGCCCGCCGCCGCCGCCAACTCGCCCGGCGCCTCCCTTTTTCCCCCTGCCCCAGGCTCAAGGCGTACCGCAAGTGGCTGACCATGGAGGAGCCCAACTGGAGCGACAACCGCTACCCGCGCATCGACTACCAGGACCTCTCCTACTACTCCGCCCCCAAGGTGGTGGACAAGAAGACGAGCCTGGATGAGGTGCGGGGGCGGTGCTCTCGTGTGTGCTTGGGTGTGTGGTGGGAGGTGCAGCCGGTGCGGTGCAGGCCATTGCTCGCTGCGGTGGTGGCGGCGCCGCCGCCGAGCAGCGGCCGGCAGGCGAGGCTGCTGCCGCTGCCAGCTGCTGCCTGGCCCCTGCAGCCTCAGCCGCACGCCCACCCACTCTTGCCTGTTCCCGTGCCACCTGTACCACCTGTGCCGCCACCTGTACCTCCTGTGCCGCCGCAGGTGGACCCCGAGCTGCTGGCCACCTTTGACAAGCTGGGCATCCCGCTGAACGAGCAGAAGCGGCTGGCCAATGTGGCTGTGGACGCCGTGTTCGACTCCGTCTCCATCGCCACCACGTTCAAGGAGGAGCTGGGCAAGGTGGGGTGTGTTGGGGTGTGTATGTGTGATGTGTGTGTGATGTGTGTGTGTGTGTGTGCATGTGTGTGAGATATGAGTTGGGGCAAGGCAGGGAGGGTGCACCGGTGAAGGGGCCGAGATGGAAGGAAGGCGGGGGCGTGGGTCTGGTTGGTGGGGAGGCCGGCTGCGCCACACGCTGCGCGTCGGCGTGAGCAGCCAGGCCAGCAGGCAATGAGCAAGCGGCCTGCCGTGTCCTCCCCCAACCCACCACCCCACCATGCAGGCGGGCGTCATCTTCTGCAGCATCAGCGAGGCGGTCAAGGAGTATCCCGACCTCGTGCGCAAGTACCTGGGCAGCGTGGTGGGTGTACCGCCTGCTGCTGCGCCCGCCGGGTGGACCCCGCTGCTCTGCCGGCGCTTGGGCGGGCGCGCAGCTGGCGTCCGGCGGCGCCGCGGGCTGGGGCATGCCGCGAGGCGGGGGCCGCTGCCTGCGTGCGTGCTGCTGCCGTGCCGCCCGGCTCCCTCGCTCCTCCCCTCCACCTGAGCCCACCCTCCCGCTCTTCTCACCTGCCCCACACCACGCCCGACCCTCCCTTCCGGCAGGTCCCCGTGGCCGACAACTACTTTGCCGCCCTCAACGCCGCCGTCTTCTCCGACGGCTCCTTTGTGTACATCCCCAAGGGCGTGCGCTCACCCATGGAGCTCTCCACCTACTTCCGCATCAACGCCTCCGAGACGGGGCAGGTGGGCGGCGCAGAGGGGCCAGGGGAGCTGCTCGCGAGCACCGGCGCCGGCGCCCGCGCTGGGCTGTGCAGCCGCGCTGCTGTGCGCGCTCCGCCCGCCTGCGTTCTCCTCCCAACCCTGCACCCCCCACCCCACCCCACCCCACCTTTCCCCGCCTCCCCACAGTTTGAGCGCACGCTGATTGTGGCGGAGGAGGGGGCGTATGTGTCGTACCTGGAGGGCTGCACCGCGCCCGCCTACGACGAGAACCAGCTGCACGCGGCGGTGGTGGAGCTGAGCGCGGCCAAGGACGCGGAGATCAAGTATTCGACCGTGCAGAACTGGTGGGGGTGGGGGTGGGGGGGCTGGGGGGCATGCTACACTACTTAGGCGAGGTGTAGGATGGCTTGCTGGCTGGTTACGTGGGCGAGGTGCAGGGTGTGCACTGGGCTGGCTGGCTGGGGCGCGGGACGAGACGGACGCAAGGGCCGCAGCGGCGTCCCCTGCGGGCCCAGGCACAGGGACGCAGGGGTGGCGCGGCGCTGAGCTGGCACCTGCCATGCCAACCCTGCTGCCGTTGCTGAGCCGCCCCCGGCGCCTCTATTCCCCCCCCCGCGCGTGCCTGCGCAGGTATGCGGGCGACGCGGAGGGGCGCGGCGGCATCTACAACTTTGTCACCAAGCGTGGCATCTGCCTGGGCGAACGCTCCAAGATCTCCTGGACGCAGGTGCGGGGCCTGAGCAGCTGTGCTGCGCTGCGCTGCGCTGCGCTGTTCTGCGCTGTGCTGCGCGGCGCTGTGGTCGGTCGGGGCTTGAGAGCTTGAGAGCTGGAGGGCCTCCGCCTCTTGTGGCCAGCCTGGCGCGTGGGGACCCCTGCATACACCAGAATCGACTTTCCACACACACACATGCACACGTGCACCGGTCAACCGCCCGCCGGGCCCCGCCCCCGCGCCCCCTGCTGCCCAGGTGGAGACGGGCAGCGCCATCACGTGGAAGTACCCCAGCGTGGTGCTCAAGGGCGACCACAGCGTGGGCGAGTTCTACTCGGTGGCGCTCACCAACAACCGCCAGCAGGCGGACACGGGCACCAAGATGATCCACGTGGGCAAGGGCACGCGGTCGCGCATCGTGTCCAAGGGCATCTCCGCCGGCCACTCGGTCAACGCGTACCGAGGGCTGGTGCAGGTGCAGCCCACGGCGGCGGGCGCACGCAACTACTCCCAGTGCGACTCCATGCTCATCGGCGACCAGGCGGGGGCCAACACCTATCCCTACATCCAGGCAGGCGGGGGCGCGGCCGCGGGGAGCGGGCAGGGGTTAGACGGGCCTGCAGGCTGTGTTTGTGTGGGGGTGCGGCGCTGGGGTGCGCGGCAGCTCGGCTGGCCGGCCCGGCGCGGTGCGCCAGGTTCCCCCCTGCCTGCCTGCCTGCCTGCCTGCCTGCCTGCCTGTGCCGCACCTGCGGCTGCCGGCCCCCTGCTGACGTCGCGCGCCTGCCCCTGCGCTCCCCCCCAATCAGGTGCGGGAGCCCAGCGCGCGCGTGGAGCACGAGGCCTCCACCTCCAAGATCGGCGAGGACCAGCTCTTCTACTTCCTGCAGCGCGGCATCGACGCCGAGGACGCGGTGGGCATGATCATTTCGGGCTTCTGCCGCGACGTGTTCAACGAGCTGCCGCTGGAGTTTGCGGCAGAGGTGAACGCGCTCATGTCGCTCAAGCTGGAGGGCAGCGTGGGGTGAGGCGCTGCAGCAGGGCTGGCGGCTCGCCAGGCCTCGCGGCGCCCTGACGCGCCGCCGCCAGGCGGCGCCCTTCCTGCCCCAATAAGCAGCAGCAGCTTGCGCGCCAACTCCCGTGCGTGTTATACCCCATACCTAGCGCCCCCCTCCCCGAGTAAATGAACCCATTCCAGAGCGCATTTCATTTTCGGCTTCCCTGTTCCTTGCTGACCCGCGCGTCCGTCTGCGCCGCGCGCCCCGCACCGTGCTCGCCTCCCCGCCTGCTTCCCCAGAGGCGCACATCCGCCTGACATCACCCGCTGCACCGCAGGGGCCTGCCGCTGCGGCCATTCCCAACGCCTGCCCCCTCCACCACCCCTCGTACCTTTTTTCCCGCCAGTGCCGCCCCCTCTATTCCCTCCCAGGGGTCAGGGATGGATGTAAGAATGCAAGCAGAAATGGTTAGAGGCTCGCACATCGCCCTCAGATGCGTGCAAGCAAGGGGAAGGAGGACGGGGCATGCTGGAAAGCAACAGAGCAGGAAGAAGGCAATGCCACAGTGCTGTGCGGCACTCGCCCGGCCACGTGGCAGGGCGGGCAGCAGCCCCAGCGCCTGGCGCCATCAGCGCCAGCGCCTGGGAGGGCGGTTCAGTGCAGTACTCAGCCGTACATGCGGTACGGGTTGCTGATGTGGCGGCTGAAGGCCGCCAGGAACGCCGCCGCCACCTCGCCGTCATACACACGGTTGTCGGCTGCACGGGGGCAACGAGGCAGCCAGAGATGGGATTACAAAGCAGGCAGGCAGCCGCAGCAGGAGGGGCCGGCACCAGGCTGGTCGCACAGGCGCCAGCTGCACACAACTTCCCAGGGCTGGCATACGTGTGCCCCTATGACAGGGCGCCCAGCAGCAGCCTGTGCCCCCAGCCAGCCCCCAGCCCACCCGACAGCGTGACGGTCATCTGCGTCTTGCTGGCGGGCAGGCCGTCCTTCATCACCGCCACCTTGCGCGCGCCGCCCACAGCCATGATGCAGGCCTGCAGAAACCAGAGGCAGGCAGAGGGCCGCCCAATCAAGACGCTGTTTGGACGCTAGCCGCGCCACTTGCCAGACGCCCCTGGCTGCCACATGCGGCCCCGAGTGCGCGCCCAACAGCAGCGCACACCACCCACACGCCCTGCCTACCCCCTCCCCGGCTGCCCCGCTTCCCCACCCGCCCACCTGCGGCGGGTTGACAATGGCGCAGAACTTGTCGATGCCAAACATGCCCAGGTTGGAGATGGAGAAGGAGCCGCCCTGGAACTCCTCAGGCCGCAGCTTGTTGGCGCGCGCCCGCCCCGCCAGCTCGCGCACCTGCACCAGGGCATGGGGCCAGGCAGGCGGGCGCGGAGTGAGCGAGCGTAAAACCGGCGGCCACACATACGCCGCATGCCGAGCTGCGCTGCGCTGCGCTGCGCTGCACCGCGGAGCAGCGGCCCCGCGGGGCAGCGGCCCGGGCCCCAGCTGCGCCGGCCAGCTGCGGGCAGGCCGCACCTCAGCCACGATCTGGGGCAGCGGCTTGGTGTCGGCTGCGCGGATGATGGGCGTGATGAGGCCGGTGTCGGTGGCAACCGCAATGGCAATGTCCACTGCAGGGGGAGAGATGGGCGCGGGCGGCACGGCAGGCGGCCTCGAGGCGCGCGCGGCGCTTCAGGGGCGGGCCGCGGCCCCCAGCAGCAGGCAGCTCGGCAGGCAGGCCAGGCAGCCCTGCCCTACAAGCACCACGCGGGCTGCAAGCGCGCCGCCGCCGACGCCTCCCCGCCCACCTGACCCCGCCGGCACCGCCGCCTCCTGCGCCGCATCCCACAGCGAGTTGGCGGCGGGCACCTCTGCCAGCGCCAGCGCCACCGCCCGCACCACGCAGTCGTTGACCGACACCTTGGCTCCCTGGGCCTTGAGGGAGTCGCGCAGCGCCGCCACACCGTCCAGGTCCACGTCAGCGCTCAGGTAGCTGCAGGAGGGAGGGAGGCAAGGAGGGGGGTGGCGGGCTGGGTCTGGGCTGGGGAGACAAGCAGGGCAGGTGAAAAGGGGGTGCCGTAGGGGCTGCACAAGTGCAGGCATGCGCCCGCGGAGCGACAGCGGTGCCAGCTCGGGCGGGGCAGGCCGGAGTCTGCCCCCCCGGGCCACGGCAAGGCTGGGCCGGAGTCTGGCCCCCAGGCCCACGGCGCCAGCGGCTGCTCACAGGTGCGGGATGGTCTGCTTGCTCTCCAGCAGCCGCTGCGCGATGACCTTGCGGATCTGGCTGTTGGGGACATCGGTGTAGGCGGCGCCTGCGGGCGGCACGTTTTGGGCCGCCGCCGCCTGCCGCGCCGCAGGCGCTGCTGCTGCTGCGGGGGCCGGCCGCGGCGCGGCCGCGGGCGGCGCGGCCTTGACGCCTGCTGCCATGGCTGCCAGCACATCGCCCTTTGTGATGATGCCGTGCGGCCCCGTGGGCGTGACGAGGTCAGCAGGGATGCCGCTCTCGGCCAGCAGCGTGCGCGCCGCGGGGCCCATGCGGTCGCTATGGTGGGCGCCGCCGGGGGCGGCCGTCCCCGCGGCAGCCGCGGGCGCCTGCTGCTCCGCCGCCGCCGCCGCTGGCGCGCCGCCGGGCGCATAGTCCTTGAAGGCCACCACCTGCTCCGCCTCCTCCACAAGCAGCGCCACGGGGGCGCCCACCGCTATGTCCTTGGCGCCCTCGGGCACCAGCAGCTTGGCCACAAAGCCCTCGTCCTGGTTCTCCCAGCTGCAGGGCGCGGGTGCGAGGCGGGGGGCAGGGCAGGCCGCAGGATCCAGGTCGCTCAGCATCATTCCAATTGGACAGGAGGGGATCACGCTGGGAGGAGCGGCGGCTCAAGGAGCAGGCAGGATGAGTGCCCAGCATGCCAGGCGCCTGCCTGGCACGCATCGCTGCCGCGCCGCTCACCTGAGCGTGGCCTTGTCTGTTTCTACGTCTGCCAGCACGTCTCCCGGTGCCACCTCCTGCCCCACCTTGACATGCCACGCCACCAGGTTGCCTTGCGACATGGTCGGCGACAGCGCGGGCATGCTCAGCTCCTACACAGCCAGCGGCGCAGCGCAACGCGTGGCTGTGAGCGCTCACGCAGCAGCGGCAGAAGGGCTGGGCCCACAACAACAGAGAAGGGACGGGCGTGGCAGGCGGCAGACGGGCGGCGGCGGCGCCCTGGTCAACCCTTGCGCCGCACCGCGTGGGGCGGCAGCGAGCTGAAGCGGCGCACGCTGCTGGCAGCAAGGCCCTGCCAACAGAGGCCTGGAGACTGCAGGAGCGCCTCGGTGGGCCTGCGTGGCATGGCAACATTCCCACGAGTCAGGCCCCTGATGCGATCTGCACAATACCGCAGCCCTGCCACGAGTCCAGCACGCCAGGACAGGGCCGCCGCAGGGCACCGACCTCAGTAGGGCACTGCCAGCCGCAACTTGCGACGGCCGGCCGCTGCCCAGCTCCGAGAATTCGCTCGCAGCGATCAGGCCGCGCCGAGCCAGGCGCAAAAGGCCCCCGCTGCGGGTCATATTGCCACCTCCCCTCAGTCCCAGCTACACAGGCCACCTCCCCTCGAGTTGTGAGATGTCTGGGTCGCGATCAGCGTGTGGGTTTGGGCAGAGGGCTTCTTGCAATGCTGTTTGCATGGACCGGGCTTTCCTAAGGCGTCGGGCCGGTTTCCGGCCACTAGCGGGGCTCTCTGCATTGCTCATGAGTACATCTGTGTCGCCTGAGCTCAGTTCTCGAACAGAAGTGGGGCTGCAGCAATGCCACAATCCCTGCTGCCCTCAATTTGCTGCATAATCTGGCCCAGAACACTCAACACTCAGGTAGGCCTCCCGGTAAGGATGTGCCCCATGATGGGCATGATGGCCCCCCAACTGGAGGGTCATTGGGGACATCATCTGCCTGCAAACTCAGCTCTCAGAGGAGGAAATGGGGAGGAAAGCCCTTTGCTGGCGTACTGGTGGCCTCTACCCAACCAAAATTCAGCAATCTGGCTGATCAGGGCCCTCTCAGCACCCCAGCACAGGCTGGCAGCAATTTCCCCACTGTGCTGAGAGGCCTGGGCCACACCACCCCAGCACTAAACCCAACACGACAAGGCCAGCAGGCAGTATGGCCCATACCAGGTGAGGCCACTGCTACAGGGCAGCAGCCCAGCCTTGCATGTGGTGCAGCGGTGTGAGCGGCGAAGTGGCGGCGGGCGGGCGGCGGCGCGCCCCGCCAGCCCAGCCACCCCCTCACCCCACCAACCCTTGCCCAGCACCACACGCCAGGTGCAGGGTTTGTACGTGGCTGCTGGCCCCCTCCCTCATTCCTTTTGATAGTACAATGAAAACGAAAGCCGATCAGCGCTCGAACACCGCGAAAACAGCCATCTGTCGTTCTGCGCCGGCGCACTTTCTAGAGGCTACGGAGCAGCGAACAAAGCCACGCTGGCACTCGGCCCGAAGTGCCCAATAGGCCTCTACGGGGGCTCATTCAGTTCTCCTTTGCTTGAAGTGCAGGGAAACGGCGGGGGAAGGGGGGTTCAGAATAATAACTCCATTCCACAGCCTAGTGCCTTCTCTCTGATTATTTACCAGGCCTCCCCGTTGCCCTCTGCTGGAATGTGGTGTTCCCCCACGACCCAGGCAACTGTCAGCTAGCCCTGGACCGCATGGAGCAGCAGGGGGAGCAGCCCGACGGCGAGGTGCTGCTCTCCATGAGCCTGGCAGACCTGCAAGAGCTGTTTGCCAACCGCAGCATCGCCCGCAAGATCCACCTGCGCCTGGATGACGTGCGCGAGTCAGCTGAGGCCCACCGGCATCGTGGCAAGCAGCAGCAGCCTGCATTGGCACAGTGTACAGGCGGGGCAGCCGCACCATCGACATCCGGGCTCAGTCGACCGCAGGAGCCGCAGCAGCTCAGCCAAGCAGCACCACCAGCTGCAGGTGCACCGCCACCGGCTGATGGCGGTACAACAATTGAGCAGACGTCCCCTGCAGCGCCGCAGCCAACAACACCAGCAGCACCACCTGCTTCTGAGCGCGCCTCGGCACTGCGCACCAAGCAGGGCAGCAACGCTGCACACCAGCCAGGTCAGGGGACCCCAGCACGCCATTTGGCTCAGGCAGCAGACGCTGTAGGAGCGCAGGAGCCATTGTCAGCAGCTGGGGAGCAGCCATTGCAGCCGCCACCAGCCACTGACGTGGGAGTGCTGCCGCAGGCGCAAGCCATCCAGCCAACAGAAGCAGCAGCGGAGGGGCCGAACCCCACGGGGGCGGCGCATGCAGCAGAATCTACTGCCGCTGGTTCAGGACCTTCAGCAGCAGATTCAGAGAGCAGCAGTGATGAAGAAGGCACCGAGGGGACGGAGGGTGAGCATGTCTGTATGTGTTCACGTGTAACTCTCTGCAGCAGCAAGCATCCCGTGGTGGCACATCCGGTGTGCTCAACCAACATTTTCATGCTGATTTTCTACCTCTGCAGCCGGGTATGCATCCAACAGCCCGATGCCGTCGTCAGGCGATGAGTGGCACCCCAGATGCGGTCCATGTAGGCCCAGAAGGTGGCTGAACTTCGAGCGCGAGAACATGTATTGGATGTGAGCCTCCGGTATGTGGTGAGCTTATTTCCAAGCATTTTTCTTGTTATGCTTTTACCCTTGCCGCGGTGTAATCACATGCGCCTGCATGTACAGCTAGCTAGTGGGACGCCACTCTGCACCACATGCCGCCATTTTGGGGACCCGGCGCCGGCACGTTGTACAACTGACAGAATCCTGAACTCTCGACAGACCAATGCACTGCAATGCAACTTGCCTGGTGGCTGCAGGGGTGCGCTGTTGCACTGCGCCCGGTCGCTTGCCGCCGGCGCCACCGCCCCGCCGTGCGGTGCGCTGCCGGCAGCCGTCTCCAGGGCGCCATGAAAGCAATGCAGCCACCGGGATTGCAACGAGCACCACGCAGCGCGCAATGCGCCACTGCAGGAGAAAGGCGAGGCCATGTCTCTCACCCGTGAGCTGGCAGCCGGCCGGGCGATGAGCAGGCGAAAGGGTGATCAGGGCAAGGCCATGATCTTTGATCGCGGTCGGGAGGTACAGAGCCAGCAGCGAGCAGCAGCGGCCTTCACCAGACTGCGCCTGCACTTCGGAGGGTCGAGCCACCGTTCAGCCCCTAATGCGAGCAACAGGGGCCTCCTCCGCCCGCCCGATGATGGCCTCTCGCAGCTGCAACACCAGCCGGGCCGGTTCGCAGCCTGCCGCCCACCTTCCCGCCAGAGCGCCTACTGCAGCGGCGGCAGGCGCCCAGGCAGCCCTGCCGGGCAGCGCTATGCGGCCTGCTGGCAAGCCGCAGCGCTCCGTGGCCGCCGCGGCAGCCTCCGCAGAGCCCAGGACGCAAGCAGCAACGCCAGAGCAGGGCCTGGTGCGTGCCGTCGCCCGCTCCGCTCTTGGCCGCTATCCAGCGTTTGCCACCTTTCTCTCCTTCCTCCCACATTGCCACATGTTCCCTTCACGTGCCGCGGCAGGCCATCATCGACATCGACCCCAACCTGGCTGCCCACGAGGAGCACCTGCGGTACCGCTGGAACCAGTACACCTCCACCCTGGCTTCCATCGAGCAGAACGAGGGCAGCCTGGCCAACTTTGCAAAGGGCTGCGACCGCTACGGCATTGTGCACGAGAAGGTGGGGCAGGAGCTGGCTGGGGGGCGGCGGCGGCTGGGACAGGCAGGCGGCGGCAGCAGGCTGGCAGTCCGGAGAGCATCCCGCCTCGTGCAGGCCAGCAGGCGCCCAGACTTGGTTGGGGGAGGGGCCTGGCATTGGCTGGGCCAGCACACATCCAGCTGGCCAGGCTGCACCCCCCCTCCAGCCCCCCCACAAGCTTCATGCTCGTGCCCATGCCCACCTGTACCACAGGGCAAGTTGGTGTACCGCGAGTGGGCTCCCGGCGCCGCCGAGGCGCAGATCATCGGCGACTTCAACGGCTGGCAGCCCACCCCCATGGAGCGCGACGATTTCGGCACCTGGAGCGTCAAGCTGGATGAGGGTGCGGCGCCGCCTCGGTCCGCCGCACGTGCTGGGTGGAGCATGGGGCCAATGTCTCGACACGCGCGACGCAGGGCTGAGTCGCTGCCTGTCAGCCCTGCCACTCCTGCGCCGTGCCTGCAGGCGCCATCCCCCACGGCAGCCGCGTGAAGATCCGCATGCGGCACCCAGGCGGCTGGTGGGTGGACCGCATCCCAGCCTGGATCAAGTGGGCCACAGGTGGGGGAACACGCGGGGCCAGCAGCCGGCACCACGCCGCAGTCTGGGTGATCTGCCGCACTCGCCTGCCTGCCCTGCCCTCTCATCACCACCACCAGCAACACACACACACACACACACACACACATTTACTCGCATCACCACCACACCACCACAAACACCCTCCCGTTGCCCCACCCCGCCCCTCCCTCCCCACAGTGCCCCAGGGCGTGATGGGAGCCAAGTACGACGGCATCCACTGGGACCCCCCGCCTTACGAGCGCCACGTGTGGCGCAACCTGCGCCCGCGCCGCCCCGCGTCGCTGCGCATCTACGAGGCACACGTGGGCATGAGCTCCGAGGAGGACACGGTCGCCACTTACACCTACTTCAAGGGTGGGGTGGGGGGGGGTCTGATGATATGTGATGGTGTGCACGTGTGTGGCGTGTGTGTGGATGGTGGTGGTGTGTTGCGCGTGTGCGTGGATGGTGGTGGTGGCTTGTGTGTGTGTGTGTGTGCGGCGGTGCTTTGCGTGGGTACTGTGGGCCTGGGATGATGTGTGTGACGGGGTTGGCTGCTGGTGGCCATGCCGACCCGCTGGCTGGCCGCTCTCTGCCTGCAGACAACGTGCTGCCGCGCATCAAGGCGCTGGGCTACAACGCAATCCAGCTCATGGCGGTGCAGGTGAGGGGCTGGAGGGGGGGCGGCTGGTGGCTGTGGAAGAGTGGCGGGGAATGCAGCAGAGGCCAGCAGCTCGCCTGTGGGGGCCGGACAGATGTGTCGACATCGGCACATGCTGCTGCACCGTGCCTGCCTGCCTGTTGCCCATCTTGCTATTTTGATCGTACCCACCGCAGGAGCACGCCTATTACGGATCCTTTGGCTACCACGTCACCAACCCTTTTGCCGTCAGCAGCAGATCAGGTGGGCTGTCGGGCTGCAGGACACAGACGGGCGTGCCTGGTGCTGCGGGCAGCTGCCTCCCCTGCCCCACAGGCCCACCTGCTGTGTTCCCCCTCCTTCTGCAAACCCCTCTCCCCCCCCGCCTCCCCCCTCTCCTCCTCCCTCCCCCCAGGCACCCCCGAGGAGCTCAAGGCGCTGATTGACGAGGCGCACGGCATGGGCATCAGCGTGCTGCTGGACGTGGTGCACTCCCACATCTCATCCAACGCAGACGACGGCCTGGCGGGGTTCGACCTGGGGCAGCCCGAGGAGGCCAACTACTTCAAGCAGGTGCGGGAGGGGCGGTACAGGAGGGCGGTACAGGAGGGCGGTACAGGGGCCAGGCCAGTACATGTGTGCAGCATCATTTTCTTGGGCTGGCAGTGCAGGCACTGCGCGCAGGCGGGCAACCTCTCCCGAGCCCTCGCGCTCGGCCCACCCCTGCGCCCTTCCCACCGCTCACGCGCCGCAGGGCGAGGCTGGGTACCACAGCCAGTGGGACAGCAAGCTGCTCAACTACCGCAACTACGAGACGCTGCGGTACCTGCTGTCCAACCTGCGGTACTGGCTGGAGGAGATGCAGTTTGACGGCTTCCGCTTCGACGGCGTCACATCCATGCTGTACCACCACCACGGTGCGGATGGTACCAAGCTCGCCTGCTTGGCAGTACACGGATGTGCCGTCAATCCGCTGCTCACTGTGTGCCCGGGGCCTGCCTGGTTCCGGCAGCAGCAACGCTGTGTGCTCGCATGACAAGCGCCGCCCCCAACTATCTCCCTCCACGCAGGCATCAACTACGGCTTCAGCGGCGGCTACCACGAATACTTCTCCCCTGCCACCAACGTGGATGCGGGTGGGTGTGCGGGTGGGGCAGCGGGGCGCGCAGGCAGCGGCTCCGGATTGCCTTGCCTGTGCCGCGCATGCGCCAGGCTATCGCTGCGCCACGTCATGGCAGTCTGGTCAGCTTGAGTCTGGCGGCAGCTGGCATTTGGCCCGTGAGGTGCAGTGTATGCTGCATTCTGCTGCTGTTTCCGACCCTCTTAATCCTTGCATCTGCTGCAGTGGTCTACCTGATGCTGGCCAACCAGCTGATCCGCGAGATCAACCCCGAGGCCATCACCATTGCAGAGGATGTGTCGGGTGGGCGTGGGCAGCAGCAGCAGCCTCCCATTCTGCGGTGACACAACACATGGCACGCCGCAGGACCCCGTCCAAAGCGCCGTGCCTCTGCACCGCAGCTGCCCCTTCTCCTGCTCTTGCTGGAGTCCCGTCCTCTGCACTCGCCACATCCCTGCCCGCCTCTCCTGCGCCCTCGTGCTGCAGGCATGCCGGCGCTGTGCCGCCCTGTGTCTGAGGGCGGGGTGGGCTTTGACTACCGCCTGGGCATGGGCCTGCCCGACTACTGGATCGAGCTGCTGAAGCACGTCAAGGATGAGGACTGGAAGATGAGCGCCCTGGTGGGGCGCCTGTGCGACAGGTGTGGGCAGCCTTGCCGGTTGGCCCGGGGCTGCGCTCCTGGAGAGGCATGTGTGACCACCGCTCGCGTAAGCGACGGTCAAAGGCAGGGCAGAGCGGGCCTATGTTTGAGCCCGTGTGCCGCCTGATGAATGCTGGCCCCGACGCATCTGTACCGCAGGCGGTACACCGAGAAGACGATTGGCTACTGCGAGAGCCACGACCAGGCGCTGGTGGGAGACCAGACCGTGGGTGAGCGCCCAGGGCCGTTTTTGCGGCACATGACAGCAGCAGCAGCAGCAGCAGCAGGGTTCTGCCATTGTGCCCTACCTGCCCTGCACCCCTTGCCAGACTGCTCCCTCTCCACCTCTCCCTGCTTGCCCCAGCCCTCCTCCCCTGCCCTCCCGCGCACCCCACCTGCAGCCTTCCGGCTGATGGGCGCCGAGATGTACACGGGCATGTCGGCGCTGCAGGAGCCCACAGAGGTCATCCAGCGGGGCATGGCCCTGCACAAGATGATCCGCGCCGTCACCATGGTGCGCGGGGTGGGGGCGGCGGGGGTGGGGGGCACGCCCCCCAGACTGCTGCCTGCTGAGAGGCATGAAGGTGTTAGGTTTAGTTTAGCAAAGGCCTCCCTTTCCTCCCTCTCCCTCGCTCCCCACCGTCTCCCTCACACCCCACACTCTCCCTCACACACGCTCAGGCCCTGGGCGGTGAGGGCTACCTCAACTTCATGGGCAACGAGTTTGGGCACCCCGAGTGGCTCGACTTCCCGCGCGAGGGCAACGACTGGAGCTACCACTACTGCCGCCGCCAGTGGGTGCGTGGGGGCGCCGCCGCAGGCGGTGGCCGGGAGGCAGCAGGCAGCGCGGCGCCGGGGCAGGCGGCCTGCAGCGCACACTTCATTCAACCTGAAACTGACACCACCTGTGATGTGCGCGCCTCCCTGTGCCCATTCAGACGCTAGTGGACACAGACCATCTGCGGTTCAAGTAAGCAGGGCGGGGGGAGTCCAGGGGCCTGTGTGGAGGCCAGTTCCCTGCAAGCAGCAGGGGCACGTTGGGACTCCCTCCCCGCACCGTAGCTGACGCCTGCACCCCGCCTGGCCTGCCCTCGTGGTCCCCATGCAGGTTCCTGAACGCCTGGGATGCCGCCTGCCTGGCCCTGGACGATCGCCACCCCTACATCTCCTCCACCTGGCAGTGGGCCACCATGATTGATGACGAGAAGCAGGTGAGGGGCGGGGGCGGTGAGGGGGAGGGGTCGGCGGGTGGGTGTGGGGGGAGGCGCAGGCGGGCTGCGGCTGAGCAGCCGCGCAGGTTGGCAACTTGCGCGCACCGGCCGCGGCCGGCAGACCGCAGCCAGACCGCCGGGGCCCGCGTTTCCCGTGCCCCCACCCCGCCCACCTGGCACCACACAATCCCACCCCAGCCGCACACCTGTCCCCGGTGCGCCTGCAGGTCATCGTGGCTGAGCGGGGCCCGCTGGTCTGGGTGTTCAACTTCTCTCCCCACAGCGACTACGAGGGGCTGCAGGCGAGACGGCTGGCTGGGGCTGGGGCCGGGGATCCAGGGGCGGCCAGCGTGCGGGCTTGCAGGGCTGCGGGCCGGCTGGCAGCTGCCAGCGGCACCGCCCCTGCTCTGCCTGGGCATGTGCCTGCTCGACGCCTGCTCCATCACCTTTGCTCCACCCCCTCCGCTGCCGCTGCTGCAGATCCCTGTGCCTGAGCCGGGCAAGTACCGCGTCATCCTGGACTCTGATGCCTGGGACTTTGGCGGGGCGGGGCGGGTGGGCCACGATGTGGACCACTTCTCGGCGGTGGGTGGCATGTGTGGTAGCGGTGCGTGTGTGTGTGTGTGCATGTGTGGTGGCAGGCAGGCAGGCAGGCAGGCAGGGCAGGCAGGCAGGGAGGCCACCCGCCGCTCCTGCGACGTGGGTGGGAGGCGAGCAGAGGAGACGCCGCCGTGCCGCTTGCTTGCCCGCCTGCGCTCCATGCGGCCCCGCTGCCCGCCCTCCGCCTGCCTGCAGCCCGCCGGCACCGAGGAGGAGCCCGACAAGACGTACTACAGCCGGGGGCAGTTCATTTATGTGCTCTCGCCCTCCCGCACTGTGGTGGCCTACAAGAAGGTGGAGGAGGGGCCTGGGGCGCCGCCCGCGGGGCCGCCGCCCGCGGTGCAGGCCATCTCCGCGGCCGGCAGGAGGAGCTGAGCGGCTGGCTGCCGCCGCCTGTGCCAGCCCTGGTGGCGCCGTGCACCGAGGCCGGCTGCCTGTACCCTCGCGCAGCCCACGCTGTTCTGTTGTTACATCGCACTGAGAGCCTTGTGCTGAATTTCATCGGACCCGTCAGCGAGACCCCTAACGCATTCATCCCATTGACCGCCTCTGTTTCATTCCTTTTGTTCCCCAGTGAGAGAAAATCCCTGCCTGCCTGCCTGCCTTTGCGCCACTTCCAAGCCCCTCCCCCTGCGCTCGTGCAGCAGTTACACCCATGTGTCTGTGCATGTGCCGTGAGATACCATTTTCATTCATCCCCCTCGTGCTACACCGCACCCGCGTCTGTTTTGGGTGCGGTGCAAGCCTGTTGTCACATCAAGCTCCTGGCGGGTGCGGGATGCATAGTTGTGTCCCTGCTTCAAGCGCTTGTGAACTTGGTGACAGCCTTGGTGCCCTCGGACACGGCGTGCTTGGCGAGCTCCCCGGGCAGCACCAGGCGCACGGCGGTCTGGATCTCGCGCGAGGTCAGGGTGGGCTTCTTGTTCACCCGCGACAGCTGCAGCAGGGGGCAGGCGGGGCGGGCAGGAAGTGGGTGAAGAATGGGCGGTTGCACACCCCAGCCATGCGCCGCCAGTCCCCCGCCCGGGCCCACCTGCGCGGCTTGGGTGGCGATGCGCTCAAATGCGTCGAACATGAAGGAGTTCAGAATGGCCATGGCCTTGGAGGAGATGCCGGTGTCGGGGTGCACCTGCGAGGAGTGGGGGCAGGGGCGACAGCATGAGCGGCAGCGGTTTCTGGACCAGGAAGTCGAGGAGGCGCCTGCGAGCTTACACCCCAGGCAGGTCTGGAGCCGTGGCGCACAGCGCCCCACCTGCTTCAGGACCTTGAACAGGTAGATCTTGTACGACTCGGCCTGCAATACAGCAGGGGGGTGCTTGATGTGCAGCAGCGCTGTGTTGAGGAAGCGAGGCGCCAGCGAGGCAGCCGTCGGCGGGCCGTCGGCGGCGCAGCGGCCGTCACCGCTGTTTATGCCGTGCCCCTACCTTGCTCCTCTTGCGAGACTTGCGCTTCTTCTCCTCGCCGCCCTCCGCCGTCTTGGCCGCCTTCTTGGCGGGAACCTTCTTGCCTGCGGACGCAGGCCGGCGGCGGCGGGCGCGGCGGCGGCGGCGCTGGGCGCCAGCGGCCGTCCTCTCTTGCTGCTGCCGGCCTGCCCCCGCTGTGAGACCCGGCGCAGCTCTGCCCGTGCAGCTGGGGCGAGCCGAGCCGTACAGCTGGGACGTGAGGCACACTCGAGGGCCTTCCCACACACCTGCCTTCTTAGTAGCCATGCTTCCTTCTCTCTCGGTCTTGGAGCTGCAACAGGGACAGGGAACAAGGCTGTTTTGGGGGGCATATAGCCGACCTTTCTTTTCACAAGTGCTTCTCCTTCAGGGCCCTCGGTTGGCCTGCCTGTGCTCATTGAGATCTCTTGCTGCCCTGAGCACAGCCCCCAGCCCTCGGAGGCACTGGCAGCGAAGGATGAGTGGAAGGGGCAAGGCCAAGGGCGCTGGCGCGCCCAAGAAGGTGGGGAGAGGCGTGCAGGAGCAGAGGGCTGCAGCAGAGGCAGGTGCCCGCCCGCCTCCCGCCGCCCGCCACACCCGCCTCTCCTGCTCCCGGCGGCCCGCCGCAGGTCACCAAGAGCATCAAGGCCGGGCTGCAGTTCCCTGTGGGCCGCATGCAGCGCTACCTGCGTAAGGGGCGGTATGCAGAGCGCATCGGATCGGGCGCCCCCGTGTACCTGGCCGCCGTGCTGGAGTACCTGGCGGCCGAGGTGCTGGAGCTGGCCGGCAACGCGGCCCGCGACAACAAGAAGACCCGCATCACCCCCCGCCACATCCAGCTGGCTGTGCGCAACGACGAGGAGCTGAGGTGGGTGGGTGGGGAGCAGGCAGGGCGGGGCGCAGCGGACAGCTGCTGCCTGGCGGAAGAGGTTGCTGGCTGGGCCTGGACAGCTGCTGCAGCAGCGGCATGCATGCGCCGGCTGCACCCTACCCCACCTCGACCAGTCAGCATGACCGTGCGCCCCTGCCGTGCCTGGGACACCCCTGCAGACACCCCTGCCCTGCCCTGCCCTGCCCTGCCCACCACTCCCTCTTGCGCAGCAAGCTGCTGGCGGGTGTGACCATTTCCGAGGGCGGCGTGCTGCCCAACATCCACTCCATGCTGCTGCCCAAAAAGGGCAAGAAGAAGGGCGGCGAGGCAGGCAGCATGTCGCAAGAGTATTGAGGGGCTGGGGCAGGCACAGCCTCATCCTTCCGCGTAACATGCGGAGGCCAAAGTGCCACTCAATGAGCTGCCAGGGCGTGCTTGCAAGGGCTGCCAGGGCATGGTTGCTTCCCTGTCACATTATGCTGATCTAGAGGATGCACTAGTTGCTATGCTATCAGGTTCATGTGGATGCACAGCGCTGGAGCTGGCATGTAAGTCGAAAAATGCAGGGCAAGGCAGGGACTCGCAGAAATTATGGAAAGACTTGTGAAGCTGGCTCCCCAGCCAGAGAGGCCGCTCGCATTCCGCCGATTGGTCAAGGCTCCTGAGGCTCCACCGGCGGGATCAGATCATCTGCCGCGCTGCCCTGCTCAGCGCTCAGCAGGTCGTGCTGAGGCGGCGGCGGCTTGCCCGCGTGGTGCGGGGGCTCGGGCGGGGTGCCGGCTGCCGAAGGTGCCGGCTGGGCAGCCTGCGCACTGCCGCCTGCGTCAGCTTCCTGCTCCTGCTCCTCTGCTAGCTCTTCTGTGGTGCGGGGCCGAGCAGCATGGTGCTTCTGCGGGCCGTGCTGCTTGCCGGTCGGGCCCGGCCACTGCTCCGGCCAGGGTGTGTCCTGGCGTTGCAGCTCGCCGCTCCCTGTGCCGCCCCCGCCATCTGCAGCTGGGGCGCCATTGGTTGTTGCGACGGCCCTGCTGAAGGGCAGCCGGCAGCCGAACAGGGCGGCAGGAGGCCTACAGGCGGCGGCGCCCCTCACCGCCATCGTGCGCCTTGGTGCCAGCAGCGAAGCCAACCTTGCCGCCAGCGGCATCTGTGGCAGGGAGCAGGAATGAGCATGGTGGTGGGTTGTGGATTGGTGGGCTGTGGCTGGTCTGGTGTCAGCTCGCCTGGACTGCTTGGGCCGCCCTCAGACATTCCCTTGAGCCTGATGTCGTTTGAGCCCAGACTGGAAGGTGTTGGTGCAGTGGGGCAGGGCATCCTCAGGAAGAAACTGTACACGTCAGCCCCCTTGAACTGAGCCCTCTGCCCTTGGCCTGTCCTTGTTTAACTCCCCCTTCTCACCAGCCATGGCCACCGCCACTGTGGAGCGCGTGACTATGAGGGACGACAAGCAGGTGCGGTTTGGCGGCGACAGGAGCCCTCGGGCAGAGGGGAGCTCCTATGAGCCGCTGATACATCACGAGCCGCCGCCGCTGGGGTGAGTGAAAGCGCCGACGGTGCTGCCTGCTGCCTCCAACGCCCAACTGCCCCGCACCCGCCGCTCAGCCGCCTTGGACGCCGCTGCCTGCCGCCCGCGCGCCCACCCTTGGACTGCGCCCCCACGCTGCCTGCAGCGCCGGCGTGAGCGGGCCGCCCACGCCGGAGCAGCACCAGCGGCGCACGCTGCTGGCGGCGGGGGTGCACCTGGCCAAGATCATGATGGGAGTCGGTGAGCGCGCCCCTCCAGGGTGCTCCCGACAGCTCTTACAGAAGCCCGGGCTCCCTCCTGCCCTGCCCTGTCGCCTGTGCCTGCCCAACTCCCCCTCCCTTTCCCCACCCGGCGCCCCCGCCCGGCTGCAGGCATCCTGGCCCTGCCCCGGGTCTTCTCGCTGCTGGGCATCGGCACCTCGCTCCTCTGGCTGGCCTTCATGGCCGCCCTGACCTACGCGTCCATGCACTCACTCACCCAGGCCTCCGCCCGCACGGGGCTGCTCAACTACAGACGTGCCGCTGCCGCCGCTAGAAGGCTGCCGATTTTGGGCTGGCCGCCTCGCCGCCGCATCGCGCTCGCCGGCCAGCAATCACCGTGGGGTCTGCCTGCCTGCGCTCTGCACCCACCCACTTTCTTCCCCACCGCCCCGCGCACGCAGCGACGTGGTGCGCGAGCAGCTGGGGGTGACGGCTCAGGCGCTGCTTGACTTGGCAGTCATTGTCAACTGTTTCGGTCTCATGATGATCATGCTGGGTGGGTGTGAGAAGCGCGCGCCCATTTTTTCTTTTCTTTTTCTCCCCTTTCTTTTCTCCCCGTTTTTATTTCTTTTTTTTTTCATCACAACCATAACTCCCCACAAACACATGCAGTCATCACCGGCGACATCCTGGTGGGAGACGGCGGCAGCGGGGAGGGCCTGCTGTCCCCGGAGTGCGGCGACCGCCGCACCGTACTGGCGGTGATCACCCTGCTGCTGCTGGCGCCCCTGGTCTCCGCCACGTGAGCCCCCTGTGCAAGCCTGTCTCGCGCCCCGGCAGGCGCCCAGCAGCGGCGCCATCCAGCCGTGGCAGCGCCCCCTGCCCCCACACCTGCTGCAGCACCTCTCCTCCGCCTGCTCCTCCTGTACACCTCCCTTCCCTGTGCCCTGTGCCCAACCAATGATCGCCCGCAGGCGCACCCGCACCACCGTGGGCGCCTCCGCCCTGGGCGTGGCTGCCATCCTCATCTGGGCCGCCATCACCGGCCTGCTCTTCCTGGTGGCCGCCTACAACGACCAGCTGCACACCATGCGCTGGTAGGGGGAGGATGCTGGCTGAGGCGCGGCAGGCAGCTCTGCACCAGCCTGGTGCCGGCAGCAGTGCCGCTGTGACTGTCGCCAGCAGCGCTGATCGGTGGCGCCGCATGCAGGCGTGCCGAGCCTCTGCCCTGCTCCTGCCCCGCCTGCCCCCGCAGGTGGCCCCACAGCGCCACCTTCACCAGCAAGGGGTTTGAGAGCGCGGTGCAGATGGTGGCGGTGCTGCCCATCCTGGTGGTGGCCTACCTGTGCCAGATGAGCCTGGGCCACACGGTGAGGGCGGGAAGCGGGGGCAGCACTCGCGGCACTGCTGTGGAGACTCAGAGAGAGAGTAGATGGCCGGCACCGGCATCCGGCATCCGGCGCTGACATCAAGTGCCGCTAGCCTAGCGTCTGCACCGTCCGGCACTTAGTCCCCTGCCCACCCTCCTGCAGATGCACGACCTGAGCTACATCAGGCAGTCCCAGGTGGACAATGTCTCTGCAGTTGCGCTGACGTGAGCCCCAGGGCAGGGCAGGGCAGCACGCATGGCCGTCCCCACCTCGTCGGCTGCGCTCCTCTTCCCCAGGCACCACCCCCAACTCGGCTCCCGCGCTGGCTATTGGCCTCGGATCCGTTGCCTCAACGTGCCCCGTTCTGCCTGCAGCCTCTCTACCGTGGCCTTCCTCGTCATCTCCGTCTGCTCCTACGGCCTGTTTGGCGCCAAGAGCCTGCACCCCGACATCCTGCGCAACTTCACCGTCAAGGCGCTGTCGCCGCTGGTGTGGACCCCGCTGGCGCAGGCCTGTGAGCGGGGCTGCCGCGCGATGTGCGCCCTTGAGCATGCCTGCGCCGCTGTGCGCGCCTACAACACAGCGCCTGTGCGGCACGCGTCTGATGATGCGAGGTCATCTTTGACGCCCGCTGTTCTCTCGCCCGCGCCTGCCACGTAGCCTTCATGCTGGTGCGCCTGGGCTTCCTCATCTCCCTGCTGGCCACCTTCCCCCTGCAGATGGCGCCCTTCAGGTGGGCAGCCATGGTCATACCTGTTGCTGGGCCTGATGCTGTTGAAACACACTGCTGCCTTTGACACACTCCCATGGGCTAAGAGCTGCCTGCTGCGGCTGCGGCTGCCTGCAGGGACTCGCTGTGGAAGCTGCTCTTCCGCCAGCAGCTGCAGGTGGGCTGCCTGCGCCGGGTGCTGCCGAGCACACCGGTAGCGGCCGGCCCGCTCGCGTGCCTGCCGCATGGGGCCCGCTGCTCCCTCCATCACCGCATCCTTCCTGCCCCGCACGTGCAGGGCCCCGGCCTGTGGCTGGTCACCTACCTGACCCTGGCGGGCGTCTACTTCTCCGCCGCCTACATCACCAGCATCTGGGAGCCGCTGATCATCCTGGGCTCCACGGCAGGCAGGCAGCAGCCGTGCTGGGAGGGACGGCCCAGAGGGTGCTGTAAACCCACATGTGTTCCTGGGCCTGATGTGCCTCACGTGTGCGTGCCTGTGCCCTGCTGGCGCTGTGTCCGCCTGCAGGCGTGCTCATCGCTCTCATCTTCCCCGGCCTGCTGGCTGTCAGCATGGGGGAGGAGCTGACCGAGACCGCCGCCAGCCGCCGCGGCCGCGGGTGCGCAACCCCTCCCTGCGCAGCCCCACTGCCCAGCTGCCCAACTAGCACTCGCCACAACCTGCCTTTCATCCCTACTGCGCCTGCTGCCGCTGTCCTGCACTGGTGCAGCACCTATGGCGCCGTGCAAGTGCTGGTGGGCGTCATCATCGGCATCGCCGGCATCGTGAGGGTCATCTTCTACCGCGACCCCATCTCCGACCGAAGCCGCGGCAGCTGCGCTTGCAGCAGTGGGGGCCAGCAATAAGCAGCAGTGCCGGCAGCCACCTTCGGACAGCTGAGCGGTCCATGAGCGTCCAGCGGTCCTGCGAGGCCCCCCTGCCTGCTGCGCTTTGCATCGTTGCGTTGCACAATGATCGCACGCCTTGCATTGTACCATACTCGCATCCTGTGCTGTACTGCCTTTCTGGTGCACGGCATGTGTCACGTTGAAGCAAATGACCTTGGGCAGCACATGTAAGCCTCGTCTGTGCAGCAATCTGAGCATGCTGCTGCCATCACTGGCAGTTGGAAAGAAAATGGAGGCAGCTGTTCCAACTGTTGTTGAAGGTATCGAGCAGGGTTGAAGGTATGCAGCAGGGGTACAGCGCCGTCGGCCGTCGGCACTGTTCATGCCGCCGTCGCATTGTAGATCCACCCAGGGACGGTGACGGCCGTGGCGTTGAGGATGGGAGGCACATACAGCTCGTCGCAGGCGTGATCTTGCCACGTCAGCATGTCTCCCTCAAAGGGTGGTCTGTCCTGCACAGCACCACCGGTGGTTGGTGGTTGACTGCGCTGGACGCACCGCTGCACCTGTTCCTCACAGGCCACTCACTGCAGGCGCGACTGTGAAGCAGTGACGCATGACCAGCGCACCTGCAGCAGCACCAGATCGTCCCGCAGCCACATGCCATGCGGCACCTGCACGTAGCTGTCGAACGGCGGCAGCTCCGGCACCTCGTCCAGGTGGTTCACGAAGCTGCAGCACGCAAAGAAAGACGGGCAGCAGGCCCAGCAGCAGCTCAAATGAGGGCCGCTCGCTGCGCTGCCCATCCGGCTCCCACCACTGCGCTGCCCATCCGGCTCCCATCACCCTGGTTGCAGCCGTGGGCGCAGCTGGCCAGCCCGCCGCATGGCAGGTGAGACAGGACCGCAGGTGAGCCTCACCGGTACGCCCTGCCCACCACGGCCCTGAACTCCAGCTCCCAGTTGTCATTGCCCACGCGCGGCGCCCCCGTGTTTGCCACCAGCACCGAAGCGTTGGGGAAGACGGTGCTGGCCCACACCCCCGTCAGCTCGCTGCACAGCAGGGGCCAGCTCTGCCTCAGGATGGCAGCCGGTTATCAGCAGAGAGTCTTCCGGCACGGGCTGCGCCGTGCCTGAGGGCGCCTCCCAGGCTGTGGCCTGTGACAATGAGCCAGTCGGGGGCCCGCCCGCCGCTTAGGTTGAGTAGCACGGCCGTGATGTTGTCAGCAACTGCGGGGTGGAGGTAAACTGCCGTGAGAAGCCCACAGCTGCATGCCCAGTGCTCCTGCACGGCTGCAGGGCGCTCTGAGGCTGGGGAGGCGAGGAGGCACCTGAGCCAGGCTCGGTCGTCAAGCTTGTAAACTGGTTCAGGAAACCCCAGTGGACCTCAACCCCCGGAAGCACAGCGCTCAGGTTGCCGGGTTGGAAGTCGTCTGCGCAGCAGGAGCGTTCAGGGGCTGTGAGCTGCTAGCGCAGGTGAAGAGCAAGGCAGCAGGACAAGCATACGTGCCTGAGAGGTAAGCGATGGCATTCTGCAGGCACAGAGAGCACAAGGCCCCAGTCAGCATGGCCCCAGTCAGCATGAACCAATCAGGGGCAAGGAGTGAACTGGGATGATGGACACTCACCTGAAACCAGTCAAACTTTGACTCAGTGTACTGCCAAATGATGATACCAGTGAGAGCGCTGGCATTCCATGCCACCACGGCATCGGCGCCGCTGCGGGCACTCAGGCGTGTAGCCGGCAGGCCCTGCGGCAGGCCACAGCGTCAGGGCCGTCTGATGGCAGGCATGGGCTTCAAGCCGAGCCGGTTGGCTGGCAGCAGCTGTGCCAAGGGCCCTCCCCCACCGGCAACAGGGATGCAAGGTCTGCATCGTTGCCAAATGCGAAGCAGGCGGCATCGATGGGGTCTCTCGTCTTGCAGAGTATGACGGGACACTGGCTGGCCTGTGGCTCATACTCGGGGTCTGCTGGAGCCAGGCTGCCCAAGTCATCGCCTGAATATCACATCGGCAGGACAGGCTCAGCAGGCCCGTGGCTGTTGCTCCTTGTGCAAACAGCCCCTGCCATGCTGGCTCACTTATGTTAGGAGTGTAGTCTGGTGGCAGCGACTGCGGCAGGTAGGGAACAGCCACCGCCTGGCTCAGGGTGTCCTGGGTGATCAGGGAGCTCAGCGCGGTCGCCAGCTGGCTGCTGTTTCCGCCATCTCCAGCGCTGCCCGCCAGGCCAGCCAGGGCGGGGTTGCTGGAATCAAAAGGCCAGACGTAGTGCAGAGTGGCGAGCTGGGCCAAGGACCAGGCGAATTGGGTGTTGAAGCCAGCCTGCACATCAGGCAGCAGGAATGGGGGGCGCCATTTGAGGGAGGGCATGCTCTGTTGGCGCCATGCTGTGCTTCCAGCAGGCGCCAGGCAGCGCCGACCCTTGCAGCTCTCACCCAGGAGGCGTTGAAGGCTACGACGTCGGCGTTGGCGGCGGGGAACTGCAGGGCCGCCCACGGCCCGCACAGCAGCGCCAGCTGGGCGGCGGCGCGCTCCCCCGTGCACACGACGTGCAGCAGCGGGTCTGGGCCCACGGTCTCCTCCACGGCCTGCACTCGGAGGTGCCACACCGGTCTGCAGCATGCTCCCCTCCTGCCACAAAGGGTGCCGGCTTTAAGCGGTTCCGCTCCCTGGCACAGCACAGCACAGCACAGCACAGACTGTCTTCGATGTGAACGCACGTCTGCCAGGCTGCCCCTGGTGCCGGGCCCCTCCACGGCTGGCATGAAGGCAGCCACCACTGCCGCAGGCGCCTCCGCCGTGTACACAAACTGCTCCAGGTAGGGAACCTGGGCGCTGCCGGCTGCCGGGCCGAGGGCGCCATCGGCCTGCGGCAGGGCATGCGGAGCGGAGGGGCAGCTAGCCAGGACACCCCACCCCAACGGGAAGCCGCAACAGTACGCCTGCGTCCGCTGCCCGGCTGCCAGTGTGAGCCTGCCTTCTGTGAAGCCAGCAGCCGCCCCCCCCCCCCCCCCCCGGGGCGCACATGGAGCGCCAGCACGACGCTGTGCGGCGCAGTGCGGTGCACGGTGACGCTGGCGCCGCTGCCAAGGGGGAGCTGCAGCGGGCCGCCCGCCTGAGGTCCCGCCAAGGAGCTGCCTGGCGGCGCAGCAGCATACTGGAAAGCCGAGGCTGTCTTGATGACGATAGGCCCATAGGAGCTGCTGCCACTGTCCCCGCCACCACCGTGGTCGCCGGCACCCCCAAAGGCGCTCTTCACAGTGTCCACCAGCGAGCCCACAACAGAGCCGAGGTCCGCGCAGCGGCTGGGGATGGCCTGGCTGACCAGGAGCAGGGCGCAGAGCAGCGCTGCGGCCGTGCAGGGCTGCCCTGGCCGGCTGGCTGGGGGCGGCATCGCGACCAACAGTGAACCAAAGAGAGCCAGCCTTGTCCAAGGTGAACGGTCTGAGCGCCAGGTTGGTGCCAGCGAGCGCGGACACATGCTATCCCGCTCTTCACATAATTGCGATGTTCACAGTCTCTCCACTCATCTACATGAATTATTACTCTGAGAAGCAATTTGAGCTTGATGAACCCACACTCTGTCGCGCTACCGATGGCTCTCCTCCAGCTCCAGCTCCAGCGAGGAGCGCTTGGCTAGCCGCTCCCCCACCTCGGCAGTGCCTGGCGGCGCTGCCACCATCAGCGCTGCCGGCGAGCTGGCGGTGCTGCCATCGCCTGCGGGCGTCTCTGCCGGCCACGACTCCTCTGCCGCAGGCAAGGGCTCGAAGCCCCCTGGCGCCGCTGCGCCGCCGCCGCGCCGCCCCGCCGCTATGTCGAATGGGTTGGCCGCCGCGCCTCCCCGCTGCTGCTGCTGCTGCCCTTGCTGCTCCACCTGCTGGCGGTGCACCTCCTCCAGCGCCTGCTGGGCACCCTTGTTGCTCAGGCTGGCCAGCGGCCGCCGCTCGGCGCCCGGCACGCGGTGGTAGGCCACCGGCAGGGCGGCGGAGCCTGCCACGTCGCTGCCGGCGCCCAGCTTCGTCTCCACATCTCCCGCCAGCGTGAAGAGCAGGATGCCCGCGGCCACGATCAGCAGGGAGGCGAGGAAGAAGAGCAGGCTGTTGCCCGGGAAGCCGCCTGCGGGGCGGCGGGAGGGCACAACCGGCACGGGCGTCGCTTGGCGTAGTCGGGGCACAGCACCGACGCGCCACGGACTTGGCAGGCCATGCCAGCCTGTCGCTGCGTCCAGCTGGCAGGTGGTGGTCCGGTGTGTGAAGCCGAGACACCACCACACCACACCACACATATCACAGCACAAGCAGGAGCGGTCGCTCACCAAAGTAGAAGTAGCGCGCCGCCGCCGCCCACAGGTCTGAGGAGAGGAGGGAGATGTTGAGCAGGGCGGCGCCACCCCACTTGAGCTCGTAGGGAACCAGCGAGTAGAAGGCAAACATGGAGAGGCCGAAGCCCAGGAAGGGCAGCACCGCGGCGGCAGACCACTGCGCGCCCAGCACCGTGTGCAGCTCCAGCGGCAGGCCCTGCGCCGCGCTCCACAGGCAGCCAAAGATGCCCAGCATGCCCAGCAGCTCGTGCACCAGTACATCGCCTGCAGGGCAGGCAGCGGGGGACGCAAGGGCGGGTGAGAGAGAGCAGGGGGCAACCAGGAAGGGGGCAGCCAGGAAGGGGGCAGCCAGCTGCACGAGCTACCGCAGAGCGTGCCACATCGCATGAGCATGGCCAGATGGAACCAGGTGCCGTGCAATGCAGCGGTGGCGGCACCCCTCACCCAGCAGCCACTCCTGCAGCACGTTGCACAGCCCGTACAGCGTGGCGCCCAGCAGCACCAGCCCGTCGCCCAGCAGCGGGTTGCTGGGCTGGTCGCCGGCTTCGCCCGCGGCGGTGCGGTCGGAGACCACCAGCAGCAGCAGGCCGGCGATGCAGACGGCGGCGCCGCCGTAGTGGCCGCGCCGGTAGGCCGCGCCCAGCAGCGCCGTGCTCAGCAGCACCACCATGGGGATGGTGAAGGAGTCCAGGAGCGTCACGCTGCAAGCGGGGCAGGAGGGGCAGGAGGCGGGTGCGGTTTCAACCGTAAGCACTGCTGCTGCTGCTCGCGCCACTGCTGGCCGCTGCCGTCAGCCCTGTAGCTGCCTTTGCACCTGGTCAGCGACGTGTAGCGGTAGGCCAGCACCAGGCAGAAGTTGCCCTCCACATCCAGCAGCGCCAGCAGGGCGTAGGCCCACCACCGGCACTTGAGCCGCCAGCCCACCGCCCGCACATGCAGCGTGGTGTACACGATGCCCAGCAGCAGGTAGTTCAGGCTGGACTGCAGGGTGGGCGCTGACAGGCCCTGTACCGAGTAGGGGAGAGCGATGACACAAGCAGGCGGTCGTCGGGAGTCGCGGCGAGTGGCAAGCAAGGCGGCGGCAGCGGCGGAGGACAACTTGTCACCGCCCCCCACCCTCTGTGGCATACAGGCTGATCGGGGCCCTCTATTCCGTGAGTTTTGGAGGTCCACCGGGTGCTGGAGCGGGCAAAGTGCGCACCTGCTGGGCGAGGCTGGCGCTGCACACCGCCGTCAGGGCAATGATGAGCGCCAAGAGTTGCCCGAGTAGGGCAGCACCGACTGTGCGGCGAGCCATTGCTGCAGGACGAAGCGGGGGTGCTCAGTTGGCCATGACTTCTGCATGCAAGGCTGTGTGCTGCCTTGCAAGGAGTGTCAGATCGGGTTGTGAGCGTGGCAAATACCCAAATGCAAGTGGCCGACATGCCAAGCGCTATTGCCCTACAAAACGGGTGCTGACGGTGCGACAACATGCCGCGGCGGCATGCGCTGTTGTGCAGCATTCGCTGGCAACTTGAATGCCGGACTACGGCAGCGTATCCACGCCAGCACCTCGCAGTGCGTGGAACCGAGTGCAGGGGCCTGTGGACATCCGGCCGCGTTGACGGCCAAGTGACAGGGAGCGACGGGACTCGCTCGTGCCGCCGGCCAGCCTGGCTACCCGCTGCTGAATGTCCCTACTCCCCTAATTCAATGAGGACACAACGAGAACACGCTGGTATGAGAGGGGATGTGCTATGCTGACAAGATGCTCCTGTGCACCTGCTCCCGCAGTGCTCCGTTGGCGTCGCCCGCCGCCAGCTCACCGGCCGCCACGGGGCAGGAGCCCACGTAACCCACGTAAGAGCTGCAGCTGCAAACAGAACATGAGCATCTGATCCTGGTGTCTTGGCAGAAGCGGAGGCCACGGACAGGAAGGCGCGCGTTATGTTGCTTTGCCGGCTCCCTGAGCTCTCGCGGGCCGCCCTCGCTGGCTACTTCGAGTGAAACAGCCGCTGTCAAGCCGTCGGGATGGCCAGCAGCGATCTGGAGCAGCGATGGCCGGTGTGGCCGCCCAACGAGGAGGGGAAGGAGCTGCTGGACGTTGTCCTGGACTGTTCCGTCGACTCTGCTTTCCTCATGCTGTATGGAGGCCTCACGGAGCTCAGGGTAGGCGCCGCCGAGGCCACCAGCTTGGCCGCGGCGGCGGCACTTGCATTGCCGCCCGCTCTGCAACTTGCTGGCCTCTCGCCTGCCTGTCTTCCACCGCCGTTGCCCACTTGGCCTTTTCTCGACTTGCAGAAAGCTTTCAACGAGATAGCCAGCAACAAGGAGTACAGCACCACGGCGTGGATGGATAGCGCAGAGGCGGTGCAGGCGGCGGCGGTGGGGCCCACCCCGCCGCCGCTGCGCGACACGGCTGGCCTGAAGGCCGGCATGCTGCGCCGCGCCTCCTACTCAGGAACAATGATGGGATCCAAGGTGGGGCATGGAGGCTGGGCCAAACACTTGCAGTTGTCGCGGGCAGCGGCACTCCGCCGTCATTGATCAAGGGAATCGTTTATTCCCTGCCAGACGCATCTCTGCGCCTCACGTTGGCATTGGGGCAGCGAGCGGGCCCACCCGCACGTGCGCGCTTGGCCATCCTCCAATCTTTTGCTCAAGCCTGCTTGCTTTGCCGGCGGCCCCCTGCTGCCCCCGCTCGCTGCCTGCAGTACCGCAATGAGGAGCTGTACCGCCTGCAGGAGATCAGCCCCGGCACCAGTTACCGCATCCTCACCACCGTGCTCACCACCGCCATGCACGGCGAGAAGTTCAGGTGAGGCGGCGCCGCCCTGGCCTGCCCACACACCCGCGCAAGCTGCCACGCTTGCAGCGCCGCCTTGCCGTGGCATGCATGCACCGACGTGCCACCGGCCGCATGCTTGCCCGCCCATCCCCCGTCCTCCACCTGCGTCCTGGCGCAGGCCGGTGGTGCTGAGCAGCCTGACTGCGCTGCCCGAGGGGCGCACCCAATACAAGATCCGGTCTGTGGTGCGCTTCATCACCAAGCCCAATGGATTCATCAAGGCCATGATTGACAAGGGTGGGTGCGGTGGGGGTGCCCAGCCGCGGTTTCCCGCCAAGGCAGTGGCCACGCTGCTGCTGCTGGCTAGGCAGGCTGCGGTCCTTGTCAAAATAGGTAGCGACTGGTGGCCGCACTGGTGCTCCATGCCACCCCCGGCTCCCTGCCGCGGCAGGCGCTCGGGATGGGCAGCGCAAGAACTTCGAGGCGCTGCGGCAGGTGCTGGAGCAGTACACCACGGTGACGGAGGCGGCAGAGGCGCTGGGCGCGGCGGTGGCGGCGGCCGCGGCGCCAGAGGCGCCCGTGGCGGCGCCCGCCGCGGGCGAGGCCCCCGCCGCGGCGGCGGCGGGGCTGCTGGAGGCGGTGGCGGGGCCGGCGGCGTGTCGGCACCTGGCGCCCTGGGCCGTCTTGCTGCACGCGCGGCTGGCGGCGGCGGCTCCTGTGCTGGGGGATGTCGTGGAGGCGCGGGTTCTGCTGGGGAGCCTGGCCGCGCTGTGCCTGCTGACCGCGCTGCGCCTGGTGGTGGACATGCTGCTCTTCATCCACCACGCCTCCGCGCACCCCAAGGACACCATCGGCCTGCTCACCCACTACCTGTTCAAGGTGAGCTGGTGGTGGGGTGCATGTGGGTGGGTGCTGGTGCTGGCACTGTGGGGCCCTGGGCAACGGCGGTACTCTTGCACCCCCACAGGGGCCGCGTGTCCACTGCTTAAACGAGTACCTCTTTACAGTCTGGGGAAGCCCCGCCGCCTGCACCGCCCCACTGCCAGCGCTGCTGCTGCTGGCGTCCGCGCTTGGCTGCAGGTGGTGGATGTGCCGGACAGCATGCAGGAGGTGCTCCTCTCCTGCCTCATCTTCTACACAGTGCGCCTGCTGGTCAACCGGCTGGCAGAGATGCTGCCGGCGCCGCCCGCAGCCCGCCGCCCGCCGCCCCGCGCGCCGCGCACACTCAGCAGCGCCAACGGCGACGCGGGCTCCGGCGCGCTGGGCGGCGCCGCCGGCAGCCCCAGGTCGCTGCTGGGCGGGCTGAGGAGCGAGGAGGTGGAGGCGGAGGGGATCAAGTATGAGGGGTATGCCGAGGCCATTGCTGCGGCGCAGGTGAGGGGCAAGTGCTGGGGCTGTGGTGCGCTGCAGGCAGGCCCCGCAGCGGCGGCGCCGTATGTATGGCTCGTGGCCAGCGACAGCATGGCTCTGCGCAGGCACCCTCCAGGCAGCCATCCGCCGTGCTGGCCGTCGCCGCCAAGCCGTGCCTGCTTGCCGCGCAGGCGAGGAGCCCCAGCGCGTCGGGCGCAGCCACCCCCGAGCGTGTCAGCATGGCGGGGGCTGTGGGCAGTGCCGCGGCCGTCGGCGCGGCGGTCGGGGCGGCAGGCACAGCAGGCGGCAGGCAGCAGGGCGGTTCCTTCATGAAGGGCTTCACAAAGTCCATCTCGGTGAGGCAGGGGGGCAGGGGGGCAGGATGGCAGGGCGCCTCGGGGGGGGTGCAGCAGCCGAACAGCCTCTCTGGTCGAGCAGCCGGCGGCCGGCTCGGACAGAGGTTTCCACACACCTGCGGCCGTGTGCGTTGCGGTGCTACAGGGCGCCTTCACCCCGAGTCGCACCAAGAAGGTCATCATGGCGCCAGAGGAGCGGGTGTCGGCTGCCGCGGCCATAGCGGGCGCGGCGGCAGCGGCTGGGGCCGTCGCGGCAGCGGCGTCGGGTGAGCACCCCTCTATCGTCGCCACAGCCGGCACCAACAAGCTTGCGTCCTCATCTGAGCTGGCCATGTGCCTGCTCTCATCGGAAGCATCACAGACCCCCTTGCCCGCAATCCACCCTGCTGCGCCACCGGCTGTCGTGCAGGCGCTGCGAGCGGCGCCGCGTCGCCCGCAGCTGGGGCGGCGGCGCTGGCGGGAGGCATGGCGGCACCCGGCAGCGTGGCCAGCCGCCTCAGGTGACCCTGCCCTGCCGCTGCCGCCTCCAGCTGCCGGAGTCGGCGGCTGCATTAATGGGTGCGAGTTAGTTTCAACCAGCGTTCATTTTGTGCAATTGCGCCACCCCTTGATGAGTGCAGCGCCCTGAGGGAGGTCGAGGCAGACAGCGGCCTGGCGGCGGCGCACGGCGCGGCGGGCGCAGGCGGCAGCAGCGCCCCGGGCTCGCCGCCCTCTGTGGGCGCCATCTCGCCCTCCGCCACCTCCCCCACAGCGCAGTCGGCGCTGGCAGTGCCCCGCAGCCTGTCAGAGTCGGCCGCGGCCATAGGCAGCGTGCTGCCCGCGGGGCTGCCAGCGGCCCTGGCAGGCTCGGCTTCATCGCAGCGCGGCATGCTGCCAGGCGACCTGCCGCCCGGCTCCGCCCTGTCGCCGCAGCGCAGCCTGTCGCCGGCGCGGGCTGGCGGCGGCATGGCACACAGCAGGTCGCAGGGAGGGCTGGCGGAGCAGTCGGGTGGGTGGGGTGCTGCCGCTTGCTGTGGCCCGCGATTCGTGCCGTACGCATCCATCCTGCCGCACACGTGACGGAGCTGCCGCTCATCCGCCGCCGCTGCCCCCCGCTGCCTGCCGTGCTCCCTGCAGGCTCCTCTGTGACCGCATTTGCCAAGAAGCTGCGGGGAGTGCTGTCCCCTACCGGCCAGCCCGGCTCGCCTGGGGAGGTGAGATGATGGCGGGGCAGGCCCCTGCGGGCACGCGCGGCTGTCTTCTGCCACGCCTGCGCTGCACCAATGCCCGCTGCCCGCTTCAACCTGCTGCCCGTCCGTTCGGCAACGCCACCGACCAGCCGAGCGCTGCGCCCTCGCCTCTGTGCAGCGCAAGAGCATGGATGGAGGCAGCGAGCCCGCCGCCCTGTCGCCAGACCAGATGCTCAGGTGCCGCCTGCCCGCCGCCCCCGCCGAGCGCCACCCCGCTGATTCCTTTGTGCCTGGCCCTGTGCCGCGCCACGCTGCCTGCTGCCTGCCCCGAGCAGCCTGCTCTGAGCCACGCTCGGCGCGCTCCCGCCTGCCTGCCCCCCACCTGCAGCCCCACCGCGGCACAGCGCGACTTCCGCCCCTCCATGCCCGCCCACCTTCCGCCGGAGCTGGCTGGGCAGGCGGTGATAGAGGAGGTGTTTGAGAACCAGCGCCTGCAGGTGGGAGGCCGGGCTGGGGCGCAGTACGGTACTACGGCGTCAGGCTGGGCTGGCTGGCCAGCACGGTACTGCTGCTGTGGCCGCCACCCTCGCTGTCCGGCATGCTCAGCCCTGTTTCCTGTTGCCCCTGCAGCCGTTCCGCGGCTGGGGGCACACCTGGCCGGGCCACTTCCTGCCCACAGACAAGGTGCGCCGCCGCGCACCCGCCCAGCATCCAGCAGCCGACCGCTGCACGCCGGCCTGCTGCAGCCTCCGCCTGGGCCGCCCTGGCTGCCCTCCAGTTGGCCGCACTCCACTCTGTCGGTGGCTTGCCCTGGGCAGGCTCAGGGCCCGCACACGCCACCGACGTCCACACCCGCAGCCACACAGCCTGCCAGCCTGGCTGCCACCCCCCACGTCGCCCCCGCCCGCCTGCGCAGGTCAACCACTGGTCCCGCCGCGAGCACGACAACTTCCCTGTCCTGGCGGGGCCCGACTTTGGGTCCATCGCGCCGCCGCTGCCCGAGGGCTGGCAGTGGTGCGAGGCCAAGTGGCACCTGGACCTGAGCGGCCAGATCATCGACGCCTGCGACCCAGACGGCTGGTCCTATGGTGCGCTGCCGCAGACCCGGGCCGCGGCAGCGCCTGGCGGCCGACACAGCGCTCCCGTGCCCTGATTGGCAGCTGATGCGCGGCTGGTGGAGCGTGGGGCCAGGCGCCAGGCAGATCTGGGCTTGAACCCCTCGCAGCCTGCGCTCACCCTGCCTCCCTCCGACTCCCTCGCCATCCCTGCCCTGCTGCAGGCCTGGACTTTGGCTACGTGCGGCACCCCTTCCAGCCCAACAGCGGCAAGAAGAAGATCTCGGACTTTGTGCGGCGCCGCCGCTGGATCCGCACGCGCGTCCCGCTGGAGCTGGCTGCGCAGCGCCGCACCACCACCATCTCCGAGGACAACACCAGCTGGGCCAAGGCGGTGGGGGGTGGCGAGGAGGCAGAGGGCATGGCGGGTGAGGGCGCCCAAGCAGCTGAGGACGGCGCCCAGGCGATTGAGGATGCGCGCGAGGTGCACGCAGTGGTGGAGAGCATGTTTGCCCAGGTGCGCTGCTGATGCTACCGGTGGTTGCTTGCTAGTGCTGCTTGAGTAGATGTGTGTGGCAGCTGCGGCTCTGCACCTCGCCTCTGCCTGCTGTGTTCTTGTGTTGCTGCCGCCTGTGTGGGGAGTTGGCAGCAACTCCCTGCTGCCCGTGCCGCTCCTTCTTGCCTGCGCAGGTGGTGGCGCGGAGCGAGGTGGAGGCCAGCATGCAGGAGGCGCTGTCGCAGCAGATTGGCAGCCGCAGCAGCAGCGGCAGCGGCAGCAACATCCGCAGCTTAGGGTCGCAGGGCTCGCAGGCGCAGGCGCAGCCTGCTGCCGGCCTGCAGGCGCCAGCCGCACAGCCTGCGGCGCACGAGCTGGAGCAGGAGAGGGAGAGGGAGCAGGCGGGTGAAGGAGCAGGAGCAGGGGGCGTCGAGGTGCAGTCAGCCCTGCCTGCAGCTGCCGCCGGCGCCGCTGCTGACGAGGCCGGCGAGCAGGCGGCGGCTGATGAGACGCAGCAGCTGGCCCGCCGCGGTTTTCACGAGGCTTCTGTCTCCTTCACCCTTCCAGCCAGCAGCCCGCCGCCGCCAGTGGAGCCGCGCTCAGCGGCAGCAGCGGCGGCGGCGGCTCTGGCCGCAAGCGGGCTCACGTTTAGCAGCGGTGCTGTCGGGGACGACTTGCTTGTGTCGCCCACAGAGCAGCTGCGCGGGTTTGAGCGCAGCAGCTCGCACGGCGTCCAGCAGGGCCTGGCACAGGCTGCGTGCGAGGCGGCAGAGGCAGCCGATGAGGTGCGGCAGCACCACAGCAGCAGCACGATGCAGCCAGGGCCTTTGGAGCGCCAGGAGGACGTGGGCAGCTTGGCGGCAGAGCTGAACCAGGCGGGCAGCACAGAGGAGGCCTCGCTGGCCGCATCGCCAGTAGATCAGCCGCCCGCCCCGACAGGCGCAGGAGCAGGGCACGGCGCCAGCGGTGGCGATCTGGTGGCACCCCTCGATGATGGGGAGCTGGCAGCAGGTGGCGATGAGGGCGCTGAGGGGGCAGAGGGTGGCGCCACAGCGCGAGCTGTGGGCGAGCCTGCCGAGCTTGCTGAGGAGCACAGCGGGGTCGAGGGTGCGCCTGCAGAGGTCAGGTCACGGCAGTCGGCAGGGCAGCCAGCTGAGGGTGTGGGGGATGCTGCAGCAAAGCCGGCACTCACACAAGTCCAGGCAGAGGCAGAGGAGCACCTGGATGGATCGGCGTCAGAGCTGTCAAATGGCGAGGAGAGCGCCGCCAGGCCGGCCTCTGATGCGCTGCATCTGGTGGCCCACCGCTGAATGATGATCGCCACTTCAAATCTTGGCAGCATGCCCCCGTATGCCCTGTACATTGCTCTCCTCTTACTGTTTTTTGAGTGCATGCACATGAAACGAGATGGAAACAGTAGGCCAGTGAAGGCGAATTAGAAGGTTGGATCAGTCATGAAGCCGCTGCTGGTGCGACAGCAGCAGCCGCCGGAGCCGTCGCGCTGGCTTATTTTCCGCTGCCTGCTGCTCCTCCTTTGGCGTGCCTCCTTCCCCCTCCTGCTGCTCTCCTTCCTGCTGCGCTTGCTCCTTTTCTCCATCTTGTGCTGGCTGCTCCGGCTCCCGCTGCTCTCCTCCTTCCGCTGGCTGCTCCGCCTCAGGCTGCTGCTCTTCTCCTTCTGCCGGCTGCTTCTCCTCTGCCTGCTGCTGTTCCCCTTCCGCTGCCTTCTTGGCCTCAGGCTGCTGCTCTTCTCCTTCCGCTGGCTGCTCCGCCTCAGGCTGCTGCTCCTCCTCGCCTTTGCCCGAGGCTTCCGCTGCTCCAGTGGCAGCAGCCTCGCCGCCGCCTGGTGCACCTGCCACCGTGCCGTTGCCCGCACCACCGATCGGGCCACGGAACAGCTGCAGGTATCGATCGATGAGCGCCTGCCAGTACTTCCACTGCGCCTCCTCCGTCAGGTGCGCCGCCGCAAAGGCCTGGCCGTTGGCGCTGATGCGCTGCGCCGTCAGCTGGTTCTGCGGGCTGGCGTTGAGCGCACGCACTATGTCCACCAGGTCGGTCTCGCTGGTCACCCTGCAGGCCAGGGCAGGGCAGGCGCGGGGGCCGGGGATGGCTGGGTGGGTGGCGGTGGCGATGATGGGGTGGGAGGGCAAGGCATTGGCAGGGTCCCGAAAGGTAGCCGGCGTGAGGTGGCGTGCTGGCCGTGGCGGAATTGGAAGGCGAGGAGTATGGGAGTGGCGACGGCGCACCAGTAATGCATGTAGTGGACGCACGGGTGTATTGCGTGGTCTGCAGAAGCACACACACAGAGGGGAACCAGTCAGGTCGGCCAGAGTGCAGGCGGCCATGTCTGCAATGCAATTACGGGACCCCCTCCATGCCAGCAGGAGGCAAGACAAGGCCGGTGCGCTGTGCCGGCCGGCCCTTCAGGCAGCGCTGGCGGCCTGCTGCTCACAGTAGTATTCCACGCGCGGCGATGCCTGCTTGATCACCAGGCTGTTCTTCATCAGAACCGTGGCCAGGCGCCAGGCCGCCGTGCTGCCGTCGGCGCTCACCAGGTACCTGCTTGGGACGGGCGGGCGGCAGGTCAAGGCAGACATGGGCGTCTTTGCTTGGTTCAAGCAGCAGGCGGTGCACAGCATGCGGCGCGGCCCACCCTCAGGATAAGAGAGAGCTGTTTGAGAGAGATCACACCAGGGCAGCTCACCGGTACCAGGCCTGCTCCTCGTGGGACACGTGTGGGCCAGGCACGAACATGGGGCCGCCGTACTGAGTCACATTCTCTGTGAGTGTGATGTTGAGCAGGTCGGGATGGTCCCACGACAGCTGGGCGATGGCCCAGCGGGAGCAGTTTTTGGATGCGGCAACCGCGGTGCCGTTGAGTGGGACCCAGCTGCAGATTGGCGAGCCCCTGCACGCAGCGGCAGCAGGCAGGCAGCAGCCGGGGAGTGAGCAGGCGCGCAATCCCGGGGCCCCAGCGCATGGCGAGCGCAGAAACGCAGGCGGGTGCGTGCCTGGCCAGCGCGGGCTGGCAGCCGCGGGCGGCGGCGGCGGCACGAGGGGCGTGGGGGCGTGCCCGGGCGCCGTGCCTCCTCTTCTCGCCTGAAGAATGCCTTGGGCTGCTTCTGCTCCCAGGGCACAAAGTGGGGGTCCAAGCCTGCCGGCTTGAAGTGCGGCATGAGCACATCCAGGTCTCGGTAATCCTTGAAGATGCTGAACACGGGGGCGGCGCAGGAGCTGGCCCCACCCTGCGCGCACCAGCGGGCCCGGCAGCCGACCAGCCATGAGCGCGAGGTGCCGGGCAGGAGGGCAGCGGCGGAGGGGGCGCGGCCCTGGCTGGGGGGACGGGATATCATGCATGCCTGCATACGCCCAGCTCCGCGCCGCCATCGACGGGCCCCTGCCTGCCAGTCCCCGACAGCCCCCCAGCCACGCGCCTGGTCGCACACGGATTGATCCATGACGTTGAGCAGCAGCGGCACGCCTTCTGGGATGCGCAGCACGCCCGCCGCCAGCCCCTTGTCCACCCCCTTTTTGACGTGGAACACCGCCTGGTTGCAGCCTGGGCACACGTCCTGCTGCCGCGGGAAGATCAGCTGCTTGTCGCGCACCTGCAGGCGGCGGCGGCAACGAACATCGTGTGGGGGCCAGGTAGGCGGGGCAGCCGGGGCGCAGCACGTGACGCAGCCCCCTTCCCCTTCCCAGGCCAAATGCCCCAGCACAGCTGGCCGCCCCCGCGGGCGGGCGGGCGGCCGCACCTCCACCACCATGTGGATGTCTGCCCGCAGCTTGTCGGCACCCATGTATTCGGCAGTGGCCTCCAGGTCCTCCTGGGTGAACCCCTTGTCCCAGGGCCTGAAGGCGGCGGCCGCGTTGGGGTACAGCGCCTCGGTGGATGCCGCCAGCGCGTCCGCCACCAGCGGCACGGCGCCGGGCCCACCGCACAGCAGCGGCACGCCGCTCGGGTGCGCCGCCGCGGCTGCGGGGTCGGCGCCGCGCGCTGCCGCCGCCACCTTCGCCTCGTCGCCCGGCTCCTCGGGCGCATCCTGCGGCGGCTCTGGTAAGGGCCGGTCGGCCTGCGCTGGCACGCTGCCGTTGGCCTTGTCGCAGGCGGGGCAGGTAGGACAGTTGACGGCGGTGGCGGAGGAGGCAGAGGTGGCGGTGGCGGCCGCGACCGACGCCGTGACGCTGGCAAAGCCGCCCAGCGCTAACAGGCCCGCCGCTGTGCCTACCAGCACCAGCACCAGGGTGAGGACAGCAAGCCTGCTGCCTCCGTGCGCTCCCAAGCTTTTCAGGCGTGCCATCCCGCGCAGGACGCTGGTCGCGGGCTGGCTGGACTGGCGCGGATGATGAGATGTCGTCAGCAGGGTCCGATTAGCGAGGCGAGCCCGCCGGGCAAGGAAACCCCCCCTTGCCCCAGCAGCACTGTTGCCCCAGAGTCAAAGGACGCGACAACCGCCCAACCACAACGAGTCGATCGCGCACAAGAGAGAGAATGCTGGCCGCTGGCTTGCATGATGAGCCTGGCATGTGCGCCGTGCCGCTGCTGGCGGCGGCATACTTCCATGCCGCTGGCATTCCTCTTACATTGTCACAACAGGAGGGAGGGCTTGAGCTCTAACGAATAGCCTATAATGAACTCAAATGACGCTAAGGAGTGGACCCATGCCCTGGGGGGGGCTGCGCGGTCAATCAAGGGGCCTGCGCGGTCGATCAAGGGCAACTGGTGTGGTGGTACAGAGCGATCCACGGAAACAGCAGAAAACAGATGTGGCAACCAACAACTGACATTTTATAGGGGGGCGAGGTTTCAGATGACAGGGCCGGGAGCGTGGGCTCCTGCTCCTATCAGGCTGCCACGCCCCTGTGGTTGAGCCAGGGCTGCAGCTCTGGGCCCACCCCCGCCTCGGTGGCAGCGCCCAGCAGCAGGCTGCCGGGTGCGGAGCAGGCCCTGATCAGGCTGCCCTGCTGCTTCAGCTGTACCACCGCGGGGTGCTGCTGCGGGCCAGCCGACGCCTGCTGCTGGCGCCGGCCGTGCGGCAGGCAGGCCCCCGCGGCCGACGGCGACGGATGCAGCAGGTGCTGGTCCGCTGCCGAGCCGCCAGCCAGCGCCTCTCGCAGCTCACGCCGCAGCTCAGCAGACGTGGGCAGGGCGCGCGCCGGGGGCTCGGCCGCTGCCACCGCAGCGGCGGCATCGGGGTGGTCCGGCCAGAGCGGCGGCAGCAGCTGCGTGGGTGAGCCGGGCGCGGCCTCCATGAGGAGCAGCTCACGCTCCAAGGCGGCGGCACGCCTGGCCGGCGGCGGCGTGCAGGCGCCGGAGGCGGCGCCGGCGCCGGCCGCGGCCGCGGCCTCCGCCGCCGCAGTGCTGGCTGCTGCCAGGCTGGCAAGCTTCTCCTGCGGGCAAGCACAGGTGCGCCGGGAGCGGGGGAGTGAGGGGAGCGAGGGGATGGGGGTGGCGGCAGGGACATGGGTGCCGCAAATTCAGCGGAGGCTAGGTTGGGTTGAAGGGCGGGCGCGGCTCCCCAGACCGAGCACCCTCCAGCAGATGTGTGCGGCCTGCCCAACTGGCTTCCCACCCCCAGCACCCCGCGTGAGAAAAGCCACTACCCTCCCACCCAGCCTCGGCCGCCTCACCCTGAGCTGGCGGTTCTCTGCGCGGGCGTGCAGCGCCTTGGTTGCCACCTCCTCCACACACTTGAGCAGCACAAAGTTGTTGGAGCGCAGGCGCCCTGCCTCTGCCTGCAGCCCCGCGATGCGCTCCATCTTGCGCTCGCGGGACCTGCGGGCGCGGCACGGCACGGCACGGCGTGAGCACGGCACAGCATGGAACGGCGTGGCGCGGAGCGGCGCAGCGCCGGCGCAGTTGTGAGCAGCGAGGGCTGCTGACAGGCAAGCGCGCTGGGCGCCGGCGCCGTGCCCCACCTGCGCGCCGCCTCCCTGTTCCTGGCCCGCTTGATGGCGGCCTCCCGATCCCGCGCCGACAGCCCCGCCAGCTCCAGCTCCAGCTCCTGCTCCACATCCGCCGCCACGCCGCTCCCACCCGCCGTGCTGGGCCCGCCGTCGGCCGAGCTGCTGCGCTGCCGCTCGCTGCCGCCGCTGCGCCGGCGGCCGCTGCCCTGGCCCGACGCCCCATCCTCGCCCTCGCTGCCGCCCTCTTGCGAGTCGGAAGTGTACTGGCGGCCGCCGCCGCCGCCGCTGCCGCCGCGAAGCACGCCGGCCTCCACCGCCGCCAGCAGCTCCCGCTGCGTGTCTGCCAGCGTGCGGCGCAGCACGTGGGCCACCTCGTCATCCAGGGCATGCAGCTCGGCCACGCTGCAGGGGGTGGTCTCCAGGCGCAGCGCAGTCTGTGCCAGGCTCTCGAGCGACGGGGCCGACGCCGCGCGCCGCAGGCCGCTCTGATAGGGGGCCTCCATGCCGCTGCAGCCGCCCGCGATCACAATTCAATGCTGGGAGAGCGGTGCAGGTCCTGTGGAGGCGGGGGTGGGGCCACTTGCTCTCAAGCTTGAAAGTGATCGAGGGGTGCCCTGGGGGGGGAGCCGCCTGTGTTTGGTTGCTGGCACCTCCAAGCAACTGCAGTGGCCCGCCAGGGCTTCAAAGAGCTTGAAACGCTCGAACATGAATGCAGCGCCCGCCAGCGTGGCAAATTTGTTTCAGTCTGCTCCCAGAGCAGATGACTTGCTTAACGCGCGTTTGCACTTCAACACAAACCTATTGGTGCACCCTCAGCCGCCACTGGCTGGGCCACCCCCACATGTCCCCAGTTCTCTCTGCAGCAGCGCGTTTCAATCCCCAATCCAAGCTCGGGAATCGACTCCCGGATCTGCGTTGCGGGCGCTCCAGCACAGCGGGTGCTGCCCAGCCGCGACATCGGCGGCGGGCGACCAGCAGCAGCGGCGGAGGCGGCACCCGGCGGCAGCAGGCAGCGATGGATGAGAGCGTTGTGGAGCCCGCCATTCCTGCCGTGACCTCTGGTGCCTTTGAGCTTGATGACGACTTTGGAGGGCTGGCCTGCTCCCAAGGGCTCATGACCATCTGCGGGTTTGGCAGCCTGCTGAGCAAGACCTCCGCCCTGACCACCTTCCCCTCCCTGCAAAACTTCCGCACGGGCCTGCTGCGAGGGTGGCGCCGCGTCTTCACCCACCAGGTGCAGTCCGCCGGGGGGCGGGGCCGCCTGAGGGTGCCGCTGCGCCTTTGCCGATGCTGGCATCCCAGCTGCCTAAAGCATCCAAGTCGGTATCCCCGGTTGGCATCCCACCTGCCTCCACACAGCCACCCCTCCTCCCCGTCCACACCCACCACCCGCCGCCGCCTGCCGTAGTGCGACATCTTCTACGCGCGTGGCATTGCGCGGCCGGAGACGGGTGAGGTCAGCAGCCTGTCTGTGGAGGAGCACCCCGGGTCCGAGATTGTGGTGAGCCTGTTTGAGGTGGGGAGCGACCCCGCATCCATCGCCGCATTCATCGAGCGGGAGCACGAGTTCAGGTGGGTGGGCGTCTTGTGGGGATGGGTGGGGCAGGGGCAGGCGGGGGGCGGGCGAGCAGCGAGGTGGCTGCACCTGGCATCAGGGGCTGGGCCAGGGCGGGTACACCTGCCGGTTGTGCCTGCGCGATTGTTGCCAAGGCAGATAAGATTTGGAAGGCAGGCGTTTGGCAGCCCAGCCCACCCCAGGCAGCAGCCCAGTCCTGGAGGCGGGAGCACATCATGGGTCACCCCATCCTGCGACACCCCGCCCGCCCGCCTGCCACAGGTTCATGGCAGTGGAGCCGCTGCACCCGGACGGCAGCAGCATCGGGCGCAGGGCGGTGGTGTGCGCCCGGTGGGACGATGCGCAGTACAGGCGCAGGCGCTGCCCGCCCGACGAGTGGCAGCGGCGGTACGGCAGGCACGGCGTGCAGCAGATCTGGACGTGAGTGGGACGTGCTGTGCGGCGTGTGTGGGCTGCAGTGGGCGGCGGCCTCGTGGCTGGTGTGGCCGCCGCGGTGCGCTCCTGGCCGTGGCACCTGCCCACTGTGCGCCTGCCTCTCCTGCCCGCAGAGACAATGTGGTGCCCTGCCGCGTTTACCTCCGGCACTGCGTGCTGGCGGCGCAGCGGCTGGGCCCAGAGGCGCACGCCTCCTTCCTGGATGGCACCGTTCTGTCGGATAGAGCCACCACTATCCGCGAGCATCTGGCCGCCAACCCAGGCATCATGCATGAGCTGCCTCCGTCCAGCCTGATTGGGAGATACAGCGGGTGAACACAGCGGCGGCCTGGCTCGAGTGCCAGCATAGCCGGGCGTTCCGGCAGGCAACGCCCAGCTACCGCGGCGCCCAGCTACCGCGATCTGCACCGGCACCTGGCGGGCCCGGCGGGGGGGCCTTGGGGCACCCGCCTTGTCTGCTCCTTCAATGCCACTGGCATGAATCAGTCATGGATTCAGGCATTTGAAATTTCAGTCAGGTCAGGTCATGTAATCCCCCAGTCATCGTGGTGGCTCAGAAATGGAGGGCCCACAACGTCCCGGCTGGACCCAGGGGGGCCAGCACACCTGAGGCCAGTTCACGCGGCCTCCTGGCTCCGCCATACTTTGTCTCTTGCTCCACCTACCCGCCTGCGATTTTTGGTTGAAGAGAAGGGGCGCTGGGGGCGCAGTTCGACGAGCGGGCCGATCAATAGGCTGGCGCACCTCGTTCAGCACCGCTACCAATCCAGCTCGCCGGTGCGTGGGCCTGCCGGGGCGTGTCGATGCCGAATTACGAGCGGCAGCGCCAACAACGCCTTCTGGAACCCCCTGCTGGTGCAGAGCATCCCCTGACACGGCCGCCATGAGCTTGCACAGCCTCCTTGCTCCTCCCGATGCGCCCATTGCGGCCCCAAACACAGATGGAGGTCAGTGGGAGTGCGATGGGGCGACGCGGCTGCCCCTATTCTCCGGCAATTCAAACTTGCCATCCGACCTCGGTGGCGCGAGGAGGCGGTGTGGAGGCCCGTTGAATGCTTGATTGGGGCCCGGAAGGCCCCTGCAGCGCCAATTGGCCGCGACTGCGATTGCCGGGGCCCTACAGCTGCTGCACCAGGCTCCCGCCCAACCCAGTGGAGCATGCACGGGTGGAGCCGCGGGCTGCGGGAGCCCTCAATCGGGATCCCCACCGTGCTGGGATGCCCCAGCAGACCGCACAGCCTCCCGTCCTGGAGCAGCCAGCCGCACGATGTCAGGATGTGCAAGTCCCGACGGCCGCCTCAAATAACCCCGCCCCTCCCACTGCTGCTTGTGCCTGCAGGCATCAGCCCCAGCTGCTCCGTGTTTGTGGTTAGCAAGGTCGTCAACGCGAGCGGCGGCCGCACCGGCTGCTTCCTCTTCCGCGGCAGCCTCGTCACCCCGCCGCCCCGCGCCTCCACGCCGCTGCCCGGAGGCAGCGCCGCCGGCCTTAGCGCGCAGCGCGATGCACTCAGCGCCGGCTTCTGCGACGCCGTGGAGGAGGAGCAGGTCGACTTTGCGGAGTATGAGGGCCAGGAGCTGACACTCTACATGAGGTGTGCCGCCTGCGGCATTCTGTCTCCGCTCCGGCCCGCACCTCGGTGCACAGCTTTGCTGGCTCCCATCGGTGCACAGCTTTGCTGGCTCCCATCAGCGTGCAGCATGCCACGTTTGGTCAGCCAGGCAGCTTAGCCACCCGACCACTCAGCCTTGCCTCCCCGCCCTGCCCCGCACCCGGCCGTGCAGCTACGAGGAGGCGTCTCCCAAGATCAAGCAGCGCGGGGCGTCGGCGTCGGCCATCAGCCCCTGGCGTGCCATTCTGCGGGACCAGCAGGACGAGCTGGTGTACTGCCTCAGGGGCATGCCGCCGCGGCTGCACCTGGATGCCCACCTGCGCCTGGCCTGCTGGGGCCCCGCCATCGCAGTGCGCTTCCCTACCACAGGCAAGCCCAGCTCTGCGCATGGGCACCGGAGTTGCCGCCGCTGCGGCCACGCGTGCAGGGCTGCGCCTGCCACGTCAGCAGCGGGCTCCCGGTTTATAAACCAAACTGGCTGCCCACGCCTTCCGCATGGCAGACTTGCCTGGCAGCCGTGCCACACTCGCCTGCCAGCCCCGCCTGACATGCGCGCCTGCCGCCTCCTGCAGAGGACGCCCAGGCCTTTGCCTCCAGGCTGGAGCGCGTGGAGGTGGAGGCGCACTGCCTGGCGGGCTCGCCGCAGTGCGCCCTGCTGGCGGCGCGTGCCGTGGAGCAGGCCCTGGCGCGGGAGCCGGCCCCCAAGGCCGCCACCTCCAGCGCAGGCCCCGCCGCCTCCAGCGCTTGCCCGCCCTCGCCAGCGCTCGACGCCGACGTGCCTCGCTGCGCCGCGGGGACCAAGCGCAAGGCCGAGGCTCCCACCGCGCTGCTGACTCCAGTGATGAAGGTGGGCGGCCATCCCCCGGCTGGCCCGCCGCCGCTGGCCTGGCTGGCTGTGCGCGGCCCGACCCCTGGGTGCGGTGCGGGGGCGCCGGCTCTTGCGCTGAGCGCCTGCAGGCACGGATGGCGCCGTGGCTGATGCCTGCCTGCACCACCGCCCGCCTGCTTTCCCCTCGTGCCATGCAGCCCCGCATCAAGTCGATGCTCACGCCCACCTGCTCCTGCGACCTTGGGCCTCAGTGAGGGCCGCTTGAGACCACCACACACACAACAGTGCGAACCTGTGCGGCTGCTGCGCTGCGCTGCTCTGGGGGGCTGGCAGGGGCGCCATCGTGCGACATGGCAGTGTGTCGGCGCTGCCACGCTGCATGGGCATGCATGCGCAGGAGTGCACACGCTGCCTGCGCTGGGTGGCAGCCTGGCGGGGGCAGTGCTGCGGCAGCTTTGCTCTGGGGCTGCCTGCTGGCCACATCAAACCAACACCTCACCCCCTCTGCGCCCCTTCCCTGCCCCCTGCAGTCTTCTTTCATTGCCTTTTCTCCTGCTCCCCTGCTATTGAAGAGGCTCCTACCTCTCCTCCCAGAGTGCGTACCGGACGCGCGTTCAGGGTCTGCATGGACGTGGGGTGGGCAGCGCTCTGCGCTTTTCGTGCCCAGTTGCCCGATGCCACCGCCGCAGCCCTTGCGCACGCTCCGCACCTTTCATTGCAATTAGCACTGCTTCGCTCGGCTTTTCCCACTTCTTTAATGCGGGCCACCCGCCAACTCCTCTCCCATGCCCAGCTTGGCGCTGCCCGTTCTTTTCGCTCCCCCGTTCTCTGCCTCCCAGAATGGACGAACATTGTTTGCACCCGTCTCTCAACTCACGTCTGTTCCCTGTCCTCCTCACAAAGCACGGCTCAGTCTTTTCTCCCCAGGGCGCTGCCCGTTTTCCGTAACCCTCTCCAACGTCCGTACCACCCCTTAGGCACGACCTGAACCAGGCCCTAGTCAGCAAAACACTCCCCCAGGAATCGATCAATTGCACACTGCTTAGTTTCATTGCCAGGGCTGCGTGCCGCCCCTGTGATGCATTAGATAGCCAGGCTCATCATGCCTCCTGCTCCCCACCTTTCACGTGTGCGCAACATTGTTGTGTGATGTCTGCTGTGCCCGGATTGTCAGCCCCCTTTCCTTTCTTGGGGTTGTTGGCTGCTGGCCGCTGGCCACTGGCCGCCTCCCTCTCTTTGTTTGATTGCCTTACCTCACCGTGCGCCGTGCGATACGCGCCCCCAGTTTTTCAAACGTCTTCAAAGGTGAACCATCCTTCCTTCTACACGGGCGGCAGCCCGACCTGTCCTCACCTCACTGCCCGAACCTCCGCCGCAGCACAAGGGCCCGGTGAGCGGCTGCCGCATCTGCTGCTGGGACCATTCGATCGATTGAAGTTTTGATTCATTTCCGACCACTACGACGGACTGTGCTGCCCCAAACGCCTGACCACCGCAACCTCAGGCTGACGGCAGCGGGTCCCGAACTTTGGATGCTGCCGGCCCGACAAAGAACGCCACCCCTGCAGCGCCGTCTCTTCTCCCCCTTTGTTTTAATTCGTTCGCCTTCCTTCCTTGTCTTCCCCCTGCCTGCATGTGTTGTGTGCAGCGCAGCGAGCAAGAGCACATGAGCCCCTAGCCTAAGCTTTAGACCTGTCTTAGCCTCCATTAGTCTGTTCCCCAAGCCGTCCTCCCCTTGCGCAGCGCAGTTGCTGCCTGCTACCTGTCTTCCAAATAACTGGCCGCCAGGTCTTCTCCTGCGTGTTTCAGCCCTCCTCAGCTATCTTCGCGAGTGCCAGCCATGCCTGCCTTTGATGCGGCACTGGTGTGCTGACAATTAATTTCCTACTTTTCCCAGCTTCCTGGGAGAGCTCAATTGATTCAAAAACAAAATGCCACTGTTGAGAGTGGGCAGCCGCTCTTTGACAGTCTCTGGGGCAATTTGGCCTGCGCTTTTTGTTTTTGCCCATCTCGTGTGAGTGAGCTGACCATGCCTTCTGGTGTGCCTTTCCTGTGCGTCCCTTTCCGCCGCTGCACGATTGAGCCCAACGTCTTTTCCTGCCTCCCTTCTACCCCACGCTCCCAATCTGCATTCCCAACTCAGCTTCCTGCGTATCCCATTCCCTAGCCAAGAGAGCCGATACTAGCCTTTGTAGTTGTTTGCGTTATGCCCTTACAGAACCCGTGCAAAATCCACATCAATCATCTTCAGAAACACAGCGCAGGGCGGCCCGTGCTACAGCTCGCCGCTGTCCATGAGGTTGTGCGGGTTGCAGAGGTTGAACAGGGAGATGCACATGGCAGAGGCCAGCGCCTCGGTGCCTTTGTCAAATATGGCATTCTCCAGCGCCTGCCGGTGATCCGTGATGTGCCTGCACGTACAGGCAGCAGCTGGGTGGAGGGTGGCGCAAGGCGGTGCATAGGCCTGCAGCGAAAGCAGCCCTGGCGCAGTGCTGGATGGTGGGACAGCAGGCAGCAGCACCAGGCTCACTGCTGGCAGTCCTGCAGCACATCCTCGCCCCAGTTCTTGCTCTCTGCCAGCTGCAGAGCAGGGTGCATGGCACCGCTACGTCAGTTGGGCTGAGAAGGGCGCATGGCACCGCCACGTCAGCAGGGCTGCATCATGGGCTGCAGGCCCTCTGCCAACACGGCATCAGCTGCCATTTCGCAGCATCCCTGGCTGCAGTTCTTTGACAGGCAGCATGGCAGGGGAGCAGACACTGAGGCAGCATTGCGGCTGACTGAAAACTCCAGCGCTGCACCCAAGGTAGTGGCACCCCACTGCGCACCTTATCGCAGGCAACATCCAGGGCACCATAAATCTCCTCCTCACTGTGCTTCACCTTCATGCGGCGGCCCGGCCTGCAGCAGGAGCAGGTAGAGCAGGCAGGAGGGCCTGTGAACTGCGGTACCAGCTGCAGCCATGCCTCCTCCACAACAGAAGCAGCAGCAGCGGCGGCTGGCAGTAGCAGATGAGCTGCATCGTGGCTTTGCCCAGCGGCAGGCAGCAGCGCCAACGGCCGCACCCTGGGGCTGCAATGTTGGGATCGTCGCTCTCCACACGTGGCGGCTTGTACAGCAGGGCATCGATCTCCATGGCCAGCTGGATGCAGTCTGCAGCCACACGGACAGACAAGACAGCACGGCGTCTGCATGACCAGATCTTTCACAGGGGACGGCAGAAGAAGCTGTCCTGCCCTGCCCTCCACGGCCTACCTGCGCAGAGCAGCCCCTTCTTCCCATCCCAGAAATGAGAGATGGCCTTCTTGAGGCCATGCATGCTCAGGGAGCTCAGGGACGATGCTTTGGGTTTTGGTGGCGGCGGTCTGCAAGGCAGGCAGGGGCGGGCGAGTCGGAAGGCGGCTCCCGCACCGCAACGGCAGGAGGCGCCCCACTGCACAAGCGCAGGCTGCAGCCAGGAAAGCAAGCGCGCCCAGTGTGTCCCAGCATCAAAGAGCTACGGGGACGCAACTCACTGTGCGATGGCGCACGGCAACACGGCAGCCAGCAGCAGCACAGCTAACACACGCGACATCGTGGCTGTGATCGTTTGGGCATTGAATGCGAGCGCTGTGGTTGCGAAGTGTCGGGGTTTCCAGGCTGGTGCCTTGCTGACGGGGCGGCACGATGCGGTGTGTCACAGCGCCTGTGAAAGGCACAAGCCACGCATGTACCTGAGCTGATGTAGCTGAACGGGTGCCGCGAGCCAAGTACAGACAGCATAGACACAGCACCAGAGCCCTGCCGCCTCCTGCCAGCAAATCTCGCCAGCGATTCGGTGCACACCCTCGACGTTCCCCCACCACAGCAGCCTCGACCGACAGCCGACCACCTTAGCCCTGCTGTATTACCGTGCCACCTTCAATGCTGCGAAGTTACATCATGCTGGCTACATGACTGCATCAGCATGCTGAATCCATGCAGCATAGCCACCAGACCAGTCTATGCTGCGATCTTCTTGGCGGCGGTGCCTGCAGAAAGGGAGGGCGTGAGGGAAAATTGTGTAAGCTTCAGGGGGCTGACAATGCGTTCAGTCTCCAGCCAGCAAGCTGCATCCCATCTCATTCCCTCGGGCGGTGTGGAAGGCCGCTGCCATCCATCGCTGACACCCCTTGCCCGCTGTGCTGCTGCTGTGGCATCCAGTGCTGTATTCGATCGTGTGCTGCGTCCGTGGCACCGAGTGCTATGGTGCCAGCCCAGCTGCGACAGCTGCATCCCTGCCAGCTACCGACACCTCCCAGCTGCGCTCCGCTGCTGCTCCAGGCTAGCTGCCGCTCGATTGCTGCACAGCCGCCTGTCGAGCCAGGTGCCGCGCCACATACGCTGCCCCGCCACTGCTGCTGCTGCCAGTGTGCCACTGCGACTACTGCTGCTCCAACCCTCCCTACACACAGCCATGGCAGCAGCAGTAGCTGCAGCAGTGGCAGCAGCGGCAGGCCTGCAGCGCTGCTCACCCTCACGGAAACCGTTCTTGAAGCGGCGCTGCACGCTCTTCAGGTGCTTCATGCGGCCAGTGCCGGTGGTCTTGCGGCCGATCGCCTTCACGCTCCAGTTGTCTGCAGACAGGCGGCCAGGGAGCACGCGTGAGAAGCGCAGCGCGGTGAAATGCGAATGGGCGCAAAGCTCATGCTGCCAAGACCAGGCTGCTTCCATTGCACCCAGCCGGTGTGTCTCCGGCGACTCCGATGGCTCCTTCCCAATGCTGCGACATAGTCCAGCACCCCGTCATGCTGCTGCAGCGGCTCCTGCTGCAGCACCTCGCGGTGTCCGATATCGCTGCCTGAATGCCAGCTGCCGCCTGCGAGCTGGTTTCCACACCCTGGGGTACGCCACTGCTTTTGCCAACACCCCAGCTGCCCAGCCTGACCTCCCATCCCATACCGCTGCTCCCAATGCTCGCGCTGCCCCCAACGCTGCAACTCACACTTCCGGATCTTGGCGGCGGGGTAGCCGCAGGAGCCGCAGGTGCTCTTCTGGATGTGGAAGGAGCGGCGGCCGCAGCGACGGCACAGCGTGTGCGACTTGGTGTGGCGCAGACCAAAGCTGCCCGTACCCTGCAAAACACAGCACAGACATTGCCGCCGCTCAACATACTATTGGATGAAAAGCACAGCAAACAGCAGACCGGCGCGGGAGGCTGAGCCCGCCGAAGGCAGGCAGCAGGGCGGCAGGATGTGCTGCCCGTGTGCCGGGTCCCCCCTCGGCCGCTAACAGCGGCGCAAACTGCTGCCAGGCCGTGCTGCCGCCGTGTGCCCGCGCTGCACAGCGCCTGGGCTGGGCGCTCGGGCGGCATGGGCGAGGGCAAAGCATGCGGCGCCCACTGGCGGGGGCCGCAGCGCCATGTGGGGCCCTGCAGCTGCCCAGCCCCACTTGCCTTGCCGCACTTGCCCATCCTGGCTGCCGAGTCTGGGGGCGCGCAGGGAAGCGAGCTAGCCTAGCTCAGAGGCGTCCACCGGTCTGTCCAGCCGGCGAGAGAGGCTGGGGCAGGCGCGGGGGCCTGTTTCCAGCAGAGAGCAGCCTCGGACCCCGGCCGCCACGTGTTGCACGGTGCTCAGCGGGAAATAGGCAATTAATCAACCCAACAGCATGTCGGAGGCAATTGGCACGTTTTAGGCGTCGCAAGGCCCCCCGCGATCGGCCCGTGGCTCTCCACTGTGTTGCGGCCTGAGTAGCGGCCCTTGCAGGCAGCCCAGTCGCTAGCGGTGATACTGGTGAAGGGTTACACGTGCAAATGGACGATCAGCCGTGCCGCAGGGCAGTCCCAAGCCCCGCTGGCGGCCCTGGTGGCGGCCACTTGGGCGCACATGCATCGTCTCCGAGCAGCTGCGCCAAAGCAGCTGCTTCCCCTGCCTCGTGCCTCGTTACAGATGATCACAGTGCAAGCCATGCAGCAGCGCTTGCACTGTTCGTGAAGCAAACAGTTTCAGTTGCGAGGCCAGCCGCCGCTCTTCCCAGCCATCGTCGTCGAGGCACGGGGCGGGGCGGGCCCGAGCATCGCGCACCACTGCCAGACGATGCAGAGCAGCACAATCAGCGTGCTGCTGTGGATGGACGCCGACGTGCTGGCATGCAGGGCCCACAGCCCATGGTACACTGAGGCATGGATGCCTCGCTCGTGCGGCAGCCCCGCCTCGCGCCGCTCCCGCTGGTGCTCCTGAAAGGCGGCAACCTGCGCCGCCCCCTCGACCAGCAGCGGCAGCAGGAAGCCGACGCTGATCTGCAGCCAGCGCGACACTGCCACGCATTTGTTTTCTGCGGCCATGTGCTCCGCCGCCGGCTCCAGGGGCATCAGCTGGCCCCAAATGCTGAACAGCACGCATGCTGGGTGGGTGTGGTGGCGCAGCATGGGATGGCGCAGCAGTGTGGTGCCGCAGATGGCTCGAAGCCGCCAGGTAATGCTAGCCAGCATTGCAAGCTGCAGGGCGAGGCTTGTGCTGCAGGCAGCAGTAGATGCGCAGCATGGAGACGGAGGTTGTTCGGGCAAATGCGGAGGTGACACGCTGCAAGCAATCGGTGGGCTACTGTCCAAAATCCAAAACGGCAGCACGACTTACAGTAGCCTCACTCTCCAGGCAAAGGTGAACAGGACGAGGTGCAGCGTGCCTGAGGTGAACAGGAGCAGCAGGAAATGCCCCGCCAGACCTGAGGCAGGGCAAAGAGGCAGCAGGGAGTCAGCATTGCGCCTGCTAGTTCTCGGCCGCCTGCTGTGGCACTGCGGGGCGCAGTGTAGCGGGAAAGCACCTGCTGCATGTTTTGCAGTGCTTTTGCAAGTGACAGAGGATGTGGCAGTCCTGCACTTGGTCAGCAGTCGCAGCTACGACCGCTGGCAGGCACCCGCATTTTGTTTTCTATGGCACACCTGGCCCGCCGCGATCAGCCATCGGCACTGGAGTGTCGTTGAGCACTTGCTGCACCATGCGGCTCCCCAGGCCGAAGCCCATGCAGATCAATCGCATGAACACCGCCGACAGCTCGCGGTGCGGCAAGTAGCTCTTCCTCCAGCGCAGCCGCCACGTCAGGATGGCGGCGCTGCCGGCAATCATGAGTACTTGCCAGGCCAGCAGCGCTGCTCGCCATCCAGGGGGTGCTTCCAGAATGGCCGCGCCGAACCGGTGCAGGCCTGCTGTGCACAGCACCTGCAGCAGCAGGGTGCAGGGTGAGGAGGACTGGTGCCAACAGCACCTGCAAGGACGGCAGGGCGGCGGCGGCGGCCATGGTGAGGAGGACCACTCACCAGGACAAACAGATCCGCGGGCGGACCGGAGGTGACCTGCCGGTTGATTCTCTGCAGGAACGAGTCGGTGGGAGCGCCCAGCTAGTGGTGGCGCCCTGCTGGTGGCGGCAGGCCGCCAGGTTCAGCGGGGCGCTCTCGGCTCGTGGATCCCATCATGGCATCTCGGGATAGACACGAAGACTGTGTTCGCAGCCACAGCGAGATACTGCACGTCGTCGAACGCTAGGTTGCACTAGTGGCTGGAGATTTCCCCATGGAATTACCGTAGCGGATCCCATCCTCTATAAATTCGCCAAGACGTGATCCGTGCTGCCGGCGATGGGGTGTATGCAGGAGTGCGCCCAACAGCAGCCGCCGCACTGCGCCCACGTCCCCGCCCGCAAACCTCTCCATGCCTGATGGATTCACCATCTGTGGGGATGAATTCACGAAACAGCTGGATATGGGGGTCTTATTCAACTTGGGCGGCCCCAAGTTGGGCCACCCCTGCGATGGCGCCTGCCGGCAAAGCGTGCCGCAGCATAAAACGGCGCCGACAGCTGGACATGGGCGCGCAGCAAAGGAATTCATGCATGCTGCAAGGGTGCATCCCGCCGCTCTCTATCCATCTACCGCCTGCTGCTTGAACGAGTCACTCAGGTGGCGCCAGTTGAGCCCGGAACCGCCGCCCTTTGTTCAGAGCCGTGCGCTCTCACTCTCAGCTTGCAACCACACAGTGCACTCGCGGCGCATGGCGCCTGTCCAAGGGCAGACCGTGGCGCCGGCGTGAACGGCAACGATGCAGGCTGGTGCCAGCAGCAGCGAGGCTGGGGAGACAACGCTCAGGCAAGCCGGGGTGCTTATGGGGACACTTTTCAGACCGAGGCCGACTCTCCCAGGCCAACTGCCCTCGGCGCCGCCTCTGCCGGCTCGCTGCCGCCACCCACCCGCCGGGCCCACGTCCGCCACGTGCCTGCAGAGCTTTTTATGGGCGAAAGGCTGGCCCATCCAGCCAGGGCTCCCCAAGCAATGCCCAGCACCCTCTGAAGCGTGAATCCACGGCTGAGGCATCCCCGGGCAAAGCCGCGCCGTCTCGTCAATCGTCGGTGGCCAAGCTCCTGGCGCGGCTGTCGCCCGCCAAGGTGGGCAGCCGCAAGGAGCAGAGGAGCAGGCGGCACGCGCCGCACGAGGGGGGCGGCCTGGCAGCACTGCCAGAGCAGTGGCATGGCCGCATGCCGGCAGCCTCTGCCACCGCCGCACAGCAGCAGGCCCGCCCCGCCCATTCCTCCGGCAGCAGCGGCGCCATCCCTGCCTTCCGCCCCGCCAGCCCCCACCACACGGCCAGCCACTACACACCCTCGCCCAGCACCAGCGACGACTCGCCAGGCAAGGCGCAGCTGCAGGCGGTGCGCGCGCTGCGACAGCAGGCGCCACAGCAGCAGCAGCAGCAGGCGGCACCGCAGCAGGCGGCACCGCAGCAGGCGGCGCCGCAGGGCACGCCCGGCTACTCCGAGTCCAGCAGCGTGGGGCGTGCCATCAACGCCCACATTGCCAGCAGCATAGCAGACCTGTTCATGCCCACGCCGTCGGCCCCCGGAGCCGGCAGCTGCGGCAGCGGCAGCGGCGGCGGCGGCGGCCACCACGGCGCTGCCAGCCGCCCTGCCCCTGCTCCCAACTCTGCCACCGGGTCGCCAGGTTGCGCGCCCAGCAGCCGCGGCAGCGGCGACAGCGGCAGCTGCTGCAGCGGCGGCCAGGGGTGGCAGACTCCAGAAGCGCAGCGGCTGGCTGCCAGCCCCGGGGGTGGCGGCATGCCGGTGCCGCCCCCGGCGCCGCCCCTCCTGCGCACGGCGATGACCGAGACGAGTGCGCTGGAGCTGCAGGTAGGGATCAGGGTGGGATGGCGGGTGGGTGGGCAGGTGCCCCTGCATGTGGTGTTGGGTGCAGGCAGGTGCCAATGCATGTGGTGGTGGCTGCTTTGGAGGCGCAACATCGCATTCACCCTCAGCACCCCACCCAGCCCCTCCGCTGGTGCGCCTGCAGAGCTTCCTGAGCCCTGTGTTCATGACCCGCAAGCAGCGGCCCATGGCTTGCGAGATGGATGAGCCGGGCAGGTGGGCGGGTGGTGTGCGTAGGGTAGGCGGGGCAGGGAAGCGGAGCTGGTGTAGGCTGTGGCTGGCACCCAGCAGGCAGTCTGTTGCTGGCGGGGTCTTCCCCCAGCCTGCTTATGTGTGGCTCAGCGCCGCTGTGTTGCTTTCCTGCACTGCAGTGCGATCCCCTTCCCCAAGGCGCACCGCCGCACCAGCCGCCTGCAGCGCTTTGCGGCCAGCATGTTTGGCTGCTTTGTGCCTCCGCCGGACAAGCGCTCGCCGGCGCCGTCACTGAGGACGCCCGGCAGCCGCCGCGCGCCCAGCTTCCGGGTGCGGTGGTGTGCCAGAGCATGCTGAGCCAGCGTCCATGACGGCGGCGGCACTGGATCTGCCAGCCCACCATGCTCCGGGATCCATCCATTCCCCCAACCTGTGCTGCCTGCAGGCAACCAGCTCGCCGCGCGCCCACCTGGCACTCAACGTGGAGCCTCTGCGGCAGAGCCTGGCAGGGCTGGCGGGCGGCGATTCCGACCTCCGTGCCAGCTTGGTGGCAGCGGCAGCCGACGGCGCGCGCGGGCCTGCTGGCGCGGCTGCTGCGGCGCCCGCCGGCGCCTCGCAGTTTGGCGAGCTCCTGGGGATGCAGAGGCGGGTGGTGGAGGAGGAGGAGGACGGGCTGCGCATGAACATGGCCTCGCCGGTGCTGCTGTCGCGGCCCGGCAGCGCGGCAGCGACGCCGGCCACGGAGGCGGCGGGCAGCGAGGAGGCGGCGGGCTGTGCGGCCAATGTTCTGGCCAAGCGCAACCTCATGGATGTGCTGCGCTCCAAGGAGACGGGGGCGGTGCGCCAGCAGCCCCTGCAGGCGTGGCAGCGCCAGGCGGGCGGTGCGCCGCCGGCGAAGCATGCAGCAGGCGGGCGCGGCGGCAAGGCCCAGGCCAAGGCCAGCCACGTGTCGCTGGTGCAGCTGCTCGCCGCTCCGGCAGGAGGGCAGGCCGGCCCGGGCGGCCAGCCAGCGCTGGCCGGGCAGCACAGCGCCGGCGTCAAGCGGGGCAGGGAGGCGCTGGGGGCGTCGCGACCGCCATCCTCAGGCAAGCTGTAGCCGCCCTGTGGCGTACTGTGGCCGTCGCCTGAGCACTGGGCCCCCATCCCTCTCGTGCTGGGCTTGTGCGCGTGAGGTGCCCCCCGCTGATGTTGTTTGGCCGCCCCGCTCCGGTGCCCCGCCCCGATCTGCAGAGGATGCCCCCACCTTCACACCCAAGCGCCGAGACCTCAGCAAGCCATCCTACCGCAGCGACGCGCTCCACCACATGCTGTCGCCGGGGCTGGCGGCACGGCGGCGCGGCGGCGCGCAGGCAAGCGCGGCAGCAGTGGGCTGGGGCGCGGTTGCAGAGCGCAGAGTGGCCGGGTCTGCTGTCTGCGTGCGAGTGGCTGGGGCACCTGAGGGGCGCGCCCTGGCTCAGGCTGGCAGTGTGTGTGCGGGACCCTGGTGTGCAGGAGCGGGGTGAGGGAGCAGCTGCCGCGGCTGGGCCGCAGCTGTGGCGATCCCTCAGCGCGCCTGCCTCGCCGCACCAGCACGCCCCTGGCGCCGGCGCAGGAGCGGCGGGCAGGGAGGGCGGGGGTGCAGGCGGTGGCGGCAGCGTGCCCAGCAGCCCCTTGTTTGGCGCCCCCCGCCTCAACCGCGCTGCCACCATCCGCGCAGCGGCATCCCAGGTGAGCCCCTGCACCCCTGCCAGGCCCTTACCCCCTCACCCTCCCAAGCCGTGCAGCAGCAGCCAGGCGCCGACATCTGCCCCACGCGCCGCCGCCTGCCCCCTGCCCCCTGCCCCCCAAAAAACATAACAGCGCAAGCTTCAGGAGCGGCAGGCACAGAGCAGCGCCTTCCTGGCCAAGAGCCCCGACACGTGGCTGCGGGCGGCGGCGGCCGAGGGCCTGTCGCTGCGTGACGCCGCGGTGCTCGCCTCCCCGGGCAAGTCGGCGCGGCCCCAATACCACCCCTCCCCCGCGCCCCGCGGCCACCCGCGCGGGCAGCGGCAGCCGCAGGCTGCCGCGGCCGTGGCGGCGGCGGCGGCGGCGGCGGCGGGCGTTCGGGCGGGCACGCCGGGCGGCAGCCGCTTTGACTCGTTTGAGACGGGCGTGGAGCCATACTCAGCCCGCCTGCTCACCGCTGAGAAGCAGCGGCAGGGGGGCGGCGGTCCTGTGGCGCCAGCGGCGCCGCCTCCGCCGGGGCAGCCCGGCGCCGTGGATTTTGCCCGGCTGGCGGCGGACAGGGATGCATACCTGCAGGTGGGTGGGGCAGGTGCCGGGTACCGCCTGATGCTAGCAGCGCCTGGCGGAGAGGGTGACTACCGATGGATGGTGTGCCTGCAGCGCAAGGCAGCTGTTGGCCCCTGGCCTGGCTCTGCCCGATTGGGCGGCGACCTCACCGCCCCTCGTATGCCTCCTGCTCCCGCCGCCGACGCAGATGCTGCAAATGCTGGCAGAGGGGCTCCAGGTGGAGGGCACGCTGATCCACCCCCACAAGCAGCCGCCGCCGCCGCCGCTGCCGGCAGACCTGCTGGCGCGGGCGGCGGCGGCTGGGCGGCGTGAGCGGCGCCGCGCGTCGGCCGATGGCGCCGACACGGTGCGGCCGCGCCTGTCAGCCAGCCATGAGTGGCTGGACAGCAGCAGGACGCATGCCTCCACAGCAGTCTACAGCCTGCACGCCGCCTCTACCAATGCGTCGCTGGACTCGGCAGGTGCGTGGAGGGGCGGGGTGGGCTGCCACGCGTGCTTTGGGCTCTGGCCCGGTGGCCTGCTCCCCACCCGCTGCCCGCCCACCACCCCCTCGCCCGCCCATCTCCCGCCCGCGAGGGTGCGCCCTCCGCTGCTGCCAACCAGCCTGCCTGTGTGGCCGCGCGTTGCAGAGAGGGTGGCTGGGCTCCACCTGGTGCCCCTGACGCCCCACCACAATGCGCTGTTTGGCAATGTAAGGCTGGGGGCAGGGCATGGGCAGCACTCTGCCCTGCAGCCAGCCCTGCGGTGCCGATGTTTGAGGGGGCTGTCGCTGCTGCTGGCTGCCTGGTGCCCTCAGCTGACCTGCGCCCTTGCTGTGTCCCTCCTTCCCTCCCTCCTGCAGGATGCCACCCCCACCAAGTCGTCGCCAGTCGCCATCCAGCGTATGCTGTCCATGTCGGCAGCAGTGGCAGCGCAGCTGGGCACAGAGGAGCAGGAGCAGGGGCGGCAGGCCGCTGCCAGAGGCAGCAGGCAGGCACCCTCGGTTGAGGCGGCATCCAGCTCTGTACACAGCATCTCGTTTGGCAGCGGCGGCTGCCGCGAGCCCCGTGACACCCAGGCGCAGGACTGCGGCAGCAGCGCCGCGGGGCAGCAGCAGCAACGGCAGGCGCAGCCGCAGCCGGCCGGCGGCAAGCGGGATGGGCGGCGTGGCGCGCTGGAGGGCGGCAACGCACGCCTGGGGCGGCTGGCGGCGCTGCTGGAGGTGCACCAGAGGCTGGGCCAGCACTGCGGGCTGCAGGAGATCCGTGCTGCAGGCTTCAGTGATCTGGACCTGCAGGCACTCAAGGCCTGGCTGGGGCGGCAGGCGGGGGCATCTGCTGGCACAGGCAGCGCGGCTGCTGCCTTTGCTGTTGAGCTGTAAGATATGAGTCGTTCCCAAGAGCCCTGAGCCATGTGCTGCATGGCAGTTGCATGGCATGGAACTGATCTGTGCAGTGCATCCGGCCGGCGAAAGCAGCCAATGATTGTATTGAGGGGGAGTGGTCACTAGGACGACAGGGAGATGAATGCCAGTGCATTTCTTGCACCTCTTACCTCTGACCGCCTGCCGAGCACACACAGTGGTGGCAGCGCATGCCCCTCTGCCGGCCTGGGCAAATTGAGGTTCCGGGCGCCGGCCTGCTGATTTTTATTTTCAAATGTGAGATCCATCACACACGCAAACTGAATTTCAGACGCAGGAAGCCAGCATCATCTCCGAGAGCCCAGCCCAGCACGCAAGCCGCAGGCCAGAAGGGTGCGCGCCATCGCCGGCAGTGGGTGTCGTTCACTCCTGTAGCGATGATTAGCGCCGCGAGGAGGGGCAGGGCGGCCGCCTGCCGGCCCGCCCATCAGCCAGGCCAAGCGGCGGCAGCATCGCCGGAGCATGACCTCGTTTCCACATGCAGAGCCGCCGCTCGAGGGCTTGCGCAGCACGCTGCCCGCGCGGCAGGCCATCTTGGCAGTCAGCTGGCGGGGGCGGCGCGGTCTGCCGCCGCCGCCGCGCCGCCGCCGCCTCTGGAGCCGCAGCAGCCTCAGCTGCAGGGCCTGCTGGCCTCCGTGTCCGGCTCGGCGCTGCAGGAGCCGCAGCAGAAGGCGTTCCTGCCCGACAAGCGGCGCGGCGGGGGCGGGCGCGGCGGGCGCAACCCCTCGGTCGGCGGCGTCGCCGAGGGCGGCGGCACCGAGGGCGGCGGCGGTGTGCTGGCAGACGCAGACGAGAACGAGCGGTTCCTGGTCAGCGAGGTAGATGTGGTGGGGGTGGATGGCGAGCTCAAGGATATCGCCATGAGGGCCCTCAGCACCCGAGCCAACTTCGCCTACTCCCAAAAAGAGGTGGGTGGGATGAGGCGGTGGCGCTGCGTTGTGTGGTGCGGTACGGTTTGGCGGTGTGCTGCTGCGGGTGTGGTGCACGGTTCACAAGCCAGACATCTGGGCGGCACGCAGCGCCACCCACCCGCTCATGTCTCCTGGCGGGGCGGCGCTTTCGTTGTTCGTCGGCTCTCGCGCAACACACACAGAATGCCTGAGCCCCCTGCTCCCCCATGGGCCCACCCTCGCATCCCTCGGCCCCTCTTCCGCCACAGATAATGGACGACATGCACCGCGTGTTCGACACCGGATACTTCTCGCTGTGCAAGCCTGTGGCGGAGGAGACGCGGGATGGCATCAAGCTGACGCTCGAGGCGCGGCGCCTCTGCCGCCTGGCTGCTGCCTGGCTGCTGTTTGGCTGCCGCCTGGCTGCCGCTGCGTGCGGCCCGTGCCTGCCAGCTTGCCTGCCTGCCTCCTGCTCCCGCTCGGGAGCGCTTGGCTGGTGCTTTCCTTTCCTGCCGGCGGGTGCTGGC